GTGTAAAACTTCAAGAGACAAGCCATGTAACAGAAAAACTGGAGAAGTTCTTATTGGTTGTACAGCCAGCTTATAGAGAGGACGAGGTTCTAAGTTAGACAGCCAGGTGAGTCCCGGGTTATGGATTTATGCAGAAGTCCACCATCTTACATGGCCGAAGTTGAACAGTTTGAGATTTGGGACCTTGTTTCTGTTAAGGCCACTCTGTGAGGCATTAACGTTAATCCCCCCCGGCCTAAACAAAGCTGCAATTATCCTAGAGCATGTCTCAAGATCTGAAGTGTTTATCGTATAGGGAATATGAATGGAAACGTCTTGCTTGTTGCCAAACTCTACAAGTGTGCATATAAAACTTTATCTTACCATGACAACAACACCTGCAGATGTCTTGGTAGCTAGATACCCTGGACACGAGGTTTCCATTCTCACAAAGCTTGGAAGATCGGAGGTTCTGTTTCTAGGTTAGTAGATAACGCAGAGACCACCAAAGTACGAGTTTATTACCATATCGATTTGGCACTGCGACATGCAGCTTTACTACTCTGGTTAACCTGATTATATAGGATACATTAGTAGTGATTCTAAATCTATAGCATAAGCTGTCAGTGGTTACCCCAGTTCTAGACTCCCAAGCATATTGTATGTTTATATGACGGTGTGCTATATCCCAAAGGTCTGGTGAAGGTTGCTACGAGATCAGTGTAGACATAGAAATTGGACCGAATGGTTGGAATGGAAAAATAGGAATGAATTGATGGAGGAAGAAAAAAGTTTAGAACATCTGAATTAAGTCAAGATTTGTACACTGTCCGTAAATCGGACTAATTACTACAATATAAACCAGGGTAGTAAGAAATATCAAGAACATACTTTCCTTGTATCCTCAAAGCGTTTCTCTGTGAACCATTAAACACCCAGACCACCATAGAGCCAACTGCTGAGCCGCAGACACCAAAACTACTAGTTTATTGGGCGCAGCAGAGCAGGATGCACCCCAGGTTTGCATCTCTCATGCTTCTTCGCCTTAACCTTATTGAAGCCGCATGGCTTATGGGACCTGAGGCAACTTATGCAGGCGTACGTCCCGAGACGCTGGGGATAGCGAGCTACTCGACACTTCCCGGGCTCTTTGCAGCTATTGCAAGGAAAACGGGCTGGTACCCCGTTATCTTCCAGGTAGTGGACCTTCTCGTGGTCCTTGAAGTTGCTCATGTTGTACTCCTTGCCATTGCACCTGGTACATGTCTTCCGATTGTTGACCTTGTTGGTGCGGCCGGCCCTTTTGTTGACGACGGGTGGCCTCGCGGCCGCTTGAGGAAGAACCTCAGGGCTTGCCCTCATGGTAGCCTCTGAGTCTGTGTCTGAGACTGTGTCTGCCTCTGAGTCTGCCATGGCGGTAGCCTCTTTCTCTGGCTTAACCCCATCTCCCCCCTCTTTTTCGCGCTGCATCTTGTCGTCACAGCGACTGCACTCCGGATATGCCTTATCAAAGTGCGTACAGGGCTCCCCCAAAGGCACCATGACAACACACATGTAACATCTTCTGGCCTGAGCGCGCTTCTCCTCCTCCACCTGCCGAGCGTTGATTGGTGTCCAAGACGACATGTCTGATGGAAGGTCAGAACCAAGTTTAATATCAGGGTGGATTCTACTTACTTTTTGGTAGAAATGTTTCGATGTGATAAAGTTGAAATGTTCTTATGTGATTGAGTGTGAGAAACTCGAGATGTTTTGATGTGATAAAGAGTAAAGAGAAGAAATAATGAAGACGGGGATTGTCTCTTTTGTAGTAAGAGGATGAGAAGATAAATCAAGCCATGGAAGTTATTTACAAGAGGCAATGGTATACTTTGGTTTGCAAGTGAAGCTGGACGTGAAGTCACCACTGAGAAGGAAGCCGCTACATTGCGCGCATTTCCTGAGTAAAGCATATAATACATCCCCGAATGGTCCCCCAAGAGGATTATAGGCATCCTCTGCGCCACAGGGGTTAAATCTATTTAAGTTTGTTAGAGAAAGTATTTGATCATCAGTATATTCGTCTGTCACTTGAGCTGCAGACACAGGACAATGGATGGGAGCATCTATAGACTTTGGGCAAGCCATTTAACTTCCCCTAGAAAGACATGGCGAGAGTTCTGCTGCCTTACGCAGTTCTATTTGACCAAGCATGCTGTTCTTGTGAGTCAACGAGGCACTGCACTGGCAAAGAGTGGCTTTATGTTCAGCATCTTGGAATCATTACAAGTACTATTCGAGGCATTGTGTGTAATTGGGGACCGATCTTCCCGATGGGGAATATGAAGAGTCCCCTTTGATACGAAAATCATGGCCATAATACGAAATTGATAAGGACCCATATGGTTGAGGCTCGACGGTGCCATGGCTTCATTATAGTTCACTACCCCTGAACTTGCGCGCGATTCGGAAGCAAAACAAGAAATTGACCAACAAGCTGCCAGGCTTCTACCATAAACTTTAGATTCATGCTGTTAGAGACCACATTTGGATAAGTTTATGGGAGTGGCATATTTTCTTGACAGCCTATGAGGGCCCACCTTTCAGAACCTTCGTTGCATGGTCTGTGAATGCCGCAGCTGCCTCACTTAGGTACTTATTGTTGCAGTTGTGAGGAAAACCAGTCGCGTTTCGAAAGAACTCGCTTGAGAAAGAATATCGCATGTGATTTTACGTGGTGTTATACAAAATCTAGCATACCTGCACTCTGGTGTCATGCAGTTGAGTCTCTGTCGAGGTTCAATGATAGGCACTTACACCGGTAACTACCTAAAAATAGCCTTGGTCAATGGTGATGTTTGTAGAGCAAAAAACAACAACTACATGTTTCGCAATCGAATTGTATTCTACTTCACCAAATAGAAAACTCTCCTGCCCATGAATGATCGGTCTCTTGATTGTCAAACATAAAAGTTATACCGTTGTTGAGAGTGGTGTGATCTCAAATGACGATAAATAAGGCGACGGATTGCCAGACACAGAGTCACAAACAGAAAGGATCTGAGACCGGAGACCCCCGGCAATCTGGATCGATCTAAACGAGCAAGGATTTATATAATACTAGTATAAGTATCAGGCGTCTTTCACGTGGAATTGTCATCCCACGCACGTTCTAAGCCTCAGCTGTTCCCATTCCCCGCAGCGCAACTCGCTGGAGCTGAGGGGCGATATCCCGAAGCCGACCGCCGCAGCCCGTGAGCCGCGACATCAGATCATTTCGGCATCTAAGTCAAGTGAGGGACGCTATCTTACCGAGGGACAACTCAGGAACACGACACGTAGTAGGGGAAACTGACGTGTTTGTCATGACGAGGCAAACACGCCAAGGCACTTTTTTTTTATTAGGGGCCTGAGTCTTTAAGCTTAAAGGCGCTGAGGTCCCCCCCACTGTAAGCCATTTAACGGGTTCAACATTTATGAATGCCACTTGCGTCAACCACCTTCAACGTCCACTTCAGGAACAGACAAAATCTCCGAATCACACTCCAACAAAGCAAGACACACATATTTATTAGTGGAAAGCCACCCAAGTCATGTGCATCGTACTTCTCACTACAGCGCATCCCGATTATGCATTGATCGCCATTGATAATCGGGACGAGTTCATTCTTAGGCCGACATCGCGGCCTCACTGGTGGACTCACGGTACATCTGGTCGACCAGTCTTGTCGTCACGGGATCTTCAACGAGCAGAGAAAGGAACATGGATGGGCATTAGCAAGGACGGTCTGATGGCTGTGCTCACCAATTACCGAGAAACAGATGTTCAGGACCAGAACCACCCTATTCATGCTGCCAAAAGCCGCGGCGGTATGGTCACCGCCTGGTTGGGAACACCACCCGAAGAGAGTCTCAAGGACAGCGTCCACAAACTGGTCGAGAACAATGGCGTCAAGGGCGTCGGCGGCTTTTCCATGGTTTGCGGCAAGCTGAGGAAGCAGACTCAAGGCATCGCTATTGTAAGCAACCGGGCGGGTAACGTCGAAGAGGTGCCTATCGTCGCCAAAGAGCGCGGTGAGATTTGGGGTCTGAGCAACACTGCCTTCGATGCGACAGGGAAACAAGAGGAATGGCCCAAGATCGCAATGGGCAAGAAGCTATTCCGCGAAGCTATCGATAAATCTGTTTCCGACAAGAAAACCAAGGATGACTTTGTTTCAGACCTCTTTGATGTTCTCAGCCACGACACACTACCCAGGAACGAGAACGCGAGTCTCGTCGAATACATCCACGAGCTCAAGAAGAGTGTCTTTATCCCATTGATCGGCGACGAGAAGCATCGAAAGGCAATGGAAGCGGCCATGGCGAAAGGACCCGGTGAATGGACAGACGATCAAGCAGCTGCTGAAGAGCTGATGTCCGAAGGTCGACCCGATCCAAGCACAACACCTATTATGGGTTTCGAGACTGGCATGTACGGCACCCAGCGACAGACTGTGGTTCTGGTCGATTGGGAGGGAAATGTAACGATGGTGGAGCGGGCGCTTTGGGATGGAAATGGCAATGCGGTGCCAAAGGGAGAAGGCGATTTCAAGTTTGAGTTTGAGATCAATGGATGGAATGACGAGTTTTGTAATGGAAGCACAAATGGTACGACTGGAGAGACGAATGGGCATTTGTAGACGGTGTTGAGAAGGTTGTCAGGCAGACGATGCATTAGATAAGATGCCTTGGATACTAAAGAATAGACAGGCACTTGATGCTAAGACCACGATGAGCTCCTGCAAAGCTCGTCACCTATTTTAGTGATAACAACAGCAGAAGCTCTTCTACAAGGCAGGGAAGAACTGCCCTGGGGAACGAGTTCCTCTAGCGCAAGCAGCCCGAGGTGACGGGATGCAGCTGTCGACAACTGTTCATCACTGGCAAAGCGCAAAGCTCGACCTGACACTGACACTGGCAAAACTTGACCACAGCACATCAAAACAAACCAAACCGAACCAGACGTCTCCAGGCAAGGCGTCCAAAAAACAACAACAACAATGGAGGCTTTTCGAAACAGCACTGGCTTCCAGAAATCCTCTTCTCGACTTCGTCTACCCACTCCATCTAATGTCTTCTCACGAGGAAAGAAGAAGCGTCCTGTGATCTCTGGCCCGATTGGACCTGTCAAGAACTCTCGAGGTCCTGACTTCACTCGAAGCGAAACCCTCATCATTGTTCCCACCATCAAGGATTGCAGTGGCTCGGACGAGTCCTTGTCAGACAAAGAAAACGTTGAAGCTAGGAAAGCAACTCGACGACTCTCTGCTAGCTTCTCGGCACATGGATCACTTGCTAGTCCCCCTACTGTCGCCAGGTCTGGGCTGACTGCAACTTCGAGTTGCAATCTGAACGCAGCCTCTTGTTTAACTTCAACAAAGACACGCATACCAACAACCAAATTTCATCTGCCCACAACAAAGAGAACCCTGAGCTCCCCGAAGCCTGGCCTCACTACTTCATCTTCGCATCAGTACCTTTCGAGTGCTGCCCCAGTCAAGCCTTTGCCGACAACCAGCTCATTCCACTCCATCTATGAGGACTTGAGCCTCGAGTCCACTGTCCAAGACGAGAACGTCCCCCCCTCCGACCATAAAAAGTCAGCTCCCCCGGAACATGCTTATCAGGGCACCTTTCAGAAGAACAAAAGTCATCTTCCAAAGTCACGAACATTGGCCGTTTTGAGCGATCTTAAAACATCCATCTCCCGATCTTCACTCAACTCTAAATTCTCCTCCTCCCGCGATTCCGATGACCCATCGTCTCGCAAAACATCTGCATCTTCAACAAGTAGCCTATTCGTATCGACTACCTCACGACTTGGATTATCGCGAGCATCTCTAGTTTCTCGATCTAGCAGCAGTTCCGGCACCACGGCGACAGAAGTGCAACCAGATCCCAGCCATATCACCACATCACAACCATCTGCATATTGGTCCGGGCGCTTTGTTTCTCTGCATGATCGTTTCTTAGCCGAAGAATACAGCAATGGGGAGTCCAACGCCTTGGACTCGAGTCCTGGGCATCCCTTTCAGTACCACGCAATGACCACCGATCGCGTGGCTGTCAACTCTCGTCCGACTCACCTCTCCCACTCCACCACCACATCGGCACTTACAAGCCTAACTGGAACAAAGCCTCGCACCCCACCATGCAATAAGGATGCTAGATGCCTGCGAATTTTTCAACACCTTGAAAGCCTTTGTACTACAAGCGAAGCACGCCGGTCACTGGTAGCCTGGCAGCAGTCATATGCCCGTCGTGTGGGAAAGCCACAACTCCTCCCTCAGGGGGGTCGCATGGAGGACAAGAGTCTGATGGGCAAGCTTTTTGGCACAAACCCCAACAAAGGAGGAAGGCGAAGCCTCCCAGTTATGAGCGAATCTCGCGTACCAATCGCCAGAAAGACGAAGCCAGTTCCTGTGGTTAGAGGACGCGGGAAGCGGGTTTCCATCAACTGAACGCTCTTTGTTGAGTGAAAAGCACGGACACACATGATTGTTCTTTGTTCTGAGCTCACTTATCATTGCTTCTATATTTTTGAAGTGTATAATAGTTGAAAGGGACATGTTACAGCCAACAGTTTGCATTGTTGTACACCTCTATGTTAGCGATTTGTTTCCTGATGGAGTCGCAAGGTGTCGAAACCTGAGCTGTTCGTTTTTATTAGGGAGTTTGTATTATGATTCAAGAGAAATGAAGGAAAGTAGGCAATGCTGTAGCTATAATAATTAATTTCTTTTTGATGTCTAATTATTTGTAACCTTGTGATACGAATGGAATGCTTATGATATGTTTCCGTATGCCGCCGAACACAGCTTTTGATGACTTTAGTGCAACAAATCCTTAGCTTAGGCTATTTAGACAATTTCTAGACAATTTCAATGCAGTAATTCGACTATCCTGGGTTTGTTTCGTTTTTATCAGAGGTCCCGAGGCCTCTCATCCCTATGCCGAGATGTTTTTGTGCAGAAGAGTTTAATTATTGTATCATGGTCGGATAAAATTCACAAAGTCTTCGTTCGCTCAAGTCATATTTGAACATTCTGGATACCGAAGTGCATTGGTTCTAGCCTGAAATGCAGTCACATACAACGCCAACCGTATCTTGGCCCCCCTTTCGAGTTGAAATATCGTTTTAGTGAATCCATCTAGATATCCCATCGACGCCAAAAACTCCAATGCTGTAGATCTCTTACCCTCTCCCCTGCGTTTTCCCATCTCGCCAAAGTATTCTCATTCCGTCTTCTTGCGAATCTTCATGTAGTCTCTAATCTGCTCGTGCTTGCTCGCAAAGAACATCTGTCTTGCATCATTCTTCCACACCAAAACACCCACCTCCTCGGCAAATCTTGAAATATCCTTGTATTCCCTATCGTCCTCAAATGACTTGAAAAGGAACCCGCTTGTTGTCTTCATGCGCTCGTTTTCGAGCTGCCATAGACGAATTTGATCGACGACTGTGGGGGGGAGAACGGGTTTGTTGTTTAGGGCTGCGGTGCGGTGCATTTGATCGTGTGCGTGCGCGGAGAGGTAGGATATGATCTGTTCGGCGGTGATGCCAAACTGAATGGCTTGTCGGATGGATTGGCGGGAGATGCGGCCGGCGACCATGTCGGGGAAGCGCATTGCGAGTTTGGTGAAGAGAGCCAGGACCGCGATTTGAAGTGTTGACTGGGTGTAGGCGTAAATACGGTAGTTGGTCTCGATAATCACACTGCCGCGCTGCTCGGTATTGGCGGCTGTAACGCTGCCCCCTGGTGCACTAGATTGGCCTGGCTGAAGAGCAGCTGCCGTCGCGGCTGCAACGCCATCACTAATGCTGCGAAGACTATTGCTGCTCGAAGTGAGGGTCGTAGCCAGACGAGTCGGGAAGAACATGGATCGTTTGTGGTTAGGGATGTATATCAACCCAAAGTCGACAAGCGAGGGCAACATGTTCTTGCGCTGTTCCGTCAGCGCATTCGTGTCGTACGCGCGACCAAGCTCCATGCTGGCAAGGACGAAGAGGAACGAGAGCATATCTGTAGCCTCCAGCCCAGCCATCTTATTCACCTCCATAGCCTCCAGCCAAAGCAACAGCAGCGTCCATACTTGCGCATTGGCCTCTTGCAGCAAAAAGGTAAAACCGGCTTGTGTGATACCAACGCTACCGCTTGCTTTACGATCAACAAGACGGCCCGCGACGAGGAGTTCTTTCACGCTCTTATTCGGTCCAGAAGATTCGCCGGCGCTCTTGTAGCCAACACTAGATACGACAAAGTGCAGGATGTCCTCCCATTTCTTCCGCGCGTAGCGGTCGAGGAAGGCGATGTCGATTTCGGGCGGGATTTGGAGTGTTGACGGTACGCCGAAGGAGTTATGTGTGCCGCCGCCTGATAGCGCGAGTCGAAGGGATAGTTTGAAGTTCGTAGTAAGTTGCATTTCCTGCGGTCGTTCCTTTGAAGGCGCCGTGATCGAAACGATGTGTAGAACGCGCAGGATCGACAACGCCTGGTCCTTTTGGCGCTTGTGGCTTGGTTTCACCCAGTCATCTAGATCGCTGAGGAGTATGGGCTTTGGAGAGTAGAGAATGCGCATGACAAAGGTCTTTGCTAGGGGGGTGTTAGAGATTGGGCGGGTGTAGTGGTTGTGGTGACGAACCAAGGTGCGGTAGCATGCGACGGAAGATGGCGAACGCGGTTGACGGTTGTTGGTAGAGCTTGCGGAAGGTCGTGCCGGGGAGTTTCTCGAGATACTCCGCGAGCTGGAGGGAGGGCGCTGGGCTGACTGACATGTTGGGCGACGGGGGGAGCGCTCTGTCAGTCAGTATTTAAGGGTGCTATCGCATGATCGATGGGTGTTGGAAAGGGACAGGATGCCTGGGTGAGCGTGGTTGACGGAAGAAACGTTGTCTGTTTCAGTACTTGTTGTAAAGTACCTAGTGAATGTTGTAGTCAAATAAGCGCGGGAGTATGTTGAATGTAAAGATACTAAAAGGCCCAAGATTTGAAGTCCTTTGAAAGTTCACGAAGCTATTGAGCACGAGCTCTCCAGGCACGATGAATTATTTTCGGGCTAGCGTTTAGCGACGCGGATTTAGCGGGAAAAGCTCGGTAAACGACGTCATACATGCACCCCAGGGCGATCGATCTACAGCCCCATCATCGACTTACAGCAACTCATTATAGCTGCGATTGTAAGCAGATGTAATAGCTTAGAACCGAAGAGAAAGAGAGAATGTTGTAGTGCAATAAAGTCCAACCAGACTCTAGAAGGATTCTAAGGATTAAGGACATGCTTGGCCGTGAAGATAGGCTGCACTCGGGGAGCAAGAAAAAGATTGGACCTTAATATAGGGCGTCAAAATAAATACAGTAAAAGATACCCTAAATTTAGGCTAAGTTACCCAAGCCTTTTTGTCATTCAGGATCAAGGTCCTGAGTTTTCTTTCCTCCCCTAGGCTGCATCGAGGAGGGTTGCTTCAGACTGACATGAACTTCTATATCATTGATCCTGGTAGATAACCAACTTCTATCCAATAGGGAATCGTTTACCTTCAACTCTGCTTTGAATGTACTTTGAGGCCAACATATCTGTCGTCAATGCCTTGGCGTAGTCAAGACTCTAGCTTCTATATATTCCCGCTGTGAAGCTAAAAGTTAGAGATAGTCGTTCCAACATTTCTCTTCCTAGCAAGATCCAGGATGGCGTTTCCAGCGGCGAGATCTGTGACACTCACGCCAATGCCCTTGTAGACGACGAAGCCTTCACTAATCCACTTCTTCAACTTCTCAACGCCTCCTTCAGGCTTCCTTTCAGACTCGTCATCTAGCCAATCCAAGATCTCTCCAATTTGAAGCAATCTCTCACCCTTGAGACCGCTCTGTATCACTTCTCCCGACTTGACCATTGCTTCTTCTAGGTCGTCGACAAGAATACTGCCTTCCGTACCGTGAGGGCTGTATGAGTCGTCGCGAGAGGCAGCATGGCGAAGCATTTCTGGGTCGAGTTCAATCATATCGGCTTGCCATGAACCTATGGCGCCGACGAAGGGTAATCTGCTTCGTTGGCCGTCACCCAAGATTGTCTTGAGAGGGAACAACGGGCTTATTGAACCAACTGTGCAGAACACTGCGTCAGCTGATGATAAGAGAGATGCCAGAGCCTCATCGTAATCAGCTTGAGCAGGATCCAGAACACCCAGAGTGGCAGAAGACTTCCAGTACTTTTGGTTTTCTTCTGTGACTGTCTTGACCAAATCCTTCGCACGGCCTACAGACCGGTTCACAATGGTGATCCTTTTGATCTCGGAACCTCTCAGAGCTAATGCAAGACGAGTATGCCAAAGCCCTTGCTTCCCCGCTCCAAAGACCACAATGTTCTCGGTATTCTTTCTCCAAGTCCATGGGATCAGAGCAGAAAGTGTCGTTCTGTAGCCGGTGGGCTCAGCTGCATTGAGTATACCAGTCGGCACACCTGCTGAATCACACAAAGACAAAAGCCCCCCAAGCGGACGATTCACCGTGTTGCCATCTGCGTCCTTGATTGGAGCCGGCGTAACCACGATCTTTGTGCCTACATAGTCTGGGGAAGTGAATGTGCGGAAGAGAGTCTTTTGCCCATTCGGTCGATTGACGAAGTCTGGTGTTGGCTGGTATTTCCCTTCGCCTTTGACAGAGAAGTCAATGAGGATGTTTTCTAGAGCATTCTTGAACTGAAGGACTTCATCTTTGGACAGAGATATGAGAAGATCTCGGATTTCGGCGTCGCCAAGAACGATGAGGTTGCTGGTCATTGTGCTGTGTCTGAAACAATGAATGAAGAATCTGATGAAGAATAGAGCTGTGTATATTTACTGAATCCTGATATGGGTATATAGACCTGGTGCTTATCTTAGTAGCTGACTGCGAAGTCGGCGTTGGAGGGGCAGAACGGCCAGCGTCGGTGCCGGTTAATGGTGCCGGTCTTGACCCCACGGCCGGCCGGGCCATCCGACTACGGATCGGCACCCGATATCCACCACAGACATGGTCTTGAGATGATAAGAACTGGCATTAACTTGGCAACATGTTCCTCGTAAAAGTGATATTCAATGGACTTCTAAGGTGCTTCGCTAATAACGAATTGTGGGACTACCTATTACTCAACTGCAGTAGCATTCTTACATCCACCCTGAAAGGACTTGAACGAATACTTTCTCGTGACAATCTCATTGTCATACCCAAACTCCACACCAGTTTGCAACGTATCATACCCTCCAGCCGTTGGTTTCCATCCCTTCTTTGTCAATCCAGCATATGGATCTTGAATGAAGGCCAACCAGTAATCCTGCATGGTATGACTGATCTTATACTCAAACGGGCCAGACTTATTCCGCGCGATATCATGGGTTCCAAAGATCAAAGGAAGCTCAGCAGTGTGAAAAGCGCCCTCATCTCCGGGCATGATGTTGGTGAAGTTTGATGAATACATATATCGCCAGGTCTGGGCGTTGGTTGAGGACCGCAGAGCTGTTTCGAAGTGTGCGGGACAACCAAAGGTACTGTCTGTGTGGACTTGCTCGGGTGGTGGTTTGACTGGAGGCTCGGCTGGCTCTCCACCAAAGTTCCATTCATCTCTGTTTGTGCCGATGATGGATGGCTAAGGGAGGCGTTAGTATGGTCATCTTTTACCTGATGTAAGAGAATGCGATTGAGAGCTTACTAGCTTAGGGATCCTGGATGATATAAGACGCTTCGAGTAGTCGGAGAACCTGGTTCTCTCGTCGACTACAGGGACAAAGCTCACTCCCGCTGTATTCTCGACCTTCTTCTGGATATCCTTGAATGGTGTTTTGCGGAGGCAATCAATTTGATTGTCTTTGTCACACTTGAACGCCTTTGCAATAGAGGTAAAGTTGGAGTGCGAGGAATCAGCATTGTTGATGGGTAAGAAGACACCCCCAGAATCCTGGATGTATGCATGGGCGATTGGGTCTTTAGGATACGCGTACTGATAGTATCCAACAGAAGCACCACCGGCACTCTGCCCCCAGAGAGTGATCCTCTTGGGATCTCCTCCGAATTGTGAGATGTTGTCGCGCACCCACTCAACAGCAAGACGTTGATCTAGAAGTCCCAAGTTTTGTTCCTTGGAGTCAAGACCCGCGGCATTAGGGAACCCAAAGATCCCCAGACGATAGCTATTTTATGGTTAGTGATGCAAGTGAGAAGGGATTGTCTTTACATACTTGAGACTGACGACTATGTGCTTCTGACTTCTTGCGATCCAGCGGGGAGGCACCTGGTAGTCAATATTACCACCGCCCTGCACGAAGAATGTAAGCGACTTCCGTTTCACTTATGGTAAACCAATGGGGGATCATACGGCACCAAAACCACCACCATGGATCCAAACCAAGACCGGGAGCTTTCCCTTGTTGCCTCCCCGAGGCTTGTATGGAGTCCAAACATTAACATACAGACAGTCTTCGCTTGTACTGTTAGGCTTGATCAGAAACTCAGGGCGCCATGGGCCACTGTTGGATGGTTCAGCTTGAGGACAAGCTGCGCCTTGATGCGATGCATCTAATGCTCCGAATCGCCCTTTGGCTACTGCAGGAGCCCATCGCCGTTTCCCAACTGGAGGTTCGGCATAAGGTATACCGAGGAATTGAGCCACATTAGGAAAAGACTCATCTGTAAAGCCTTTAACAACACCGTTATCCGTCTTTACAATTGTCGTATCAAGTGCAGAGACAAATAGAGTACCAATTCCAGCCCCAACGGCCAGCAGACGAGAAACACTCGGTAGAATCATCATGCAAGGAGGTACCAATGACGGCAATCGAACTCGTGGGACATGAAGCTGGTATCGCGAGTCATTTTGTATTCAAGCTTGAAGCATCCGATATTAAGGCCGAATGTCACCTTATACCCACAACCGAGGCACCAAGAAGCGGGGAATGAGGAGTGAAGCTTGCGATCTTCAATAAAATGGCCAGTTTTGGGAGTTGAGATCTTGATTTTTGGCATGACCTGGTGATAATCTGGGGTAGTGACATTGAGCGGTCATCAGAGTTTGACAATGAGTTTACACGATCCAAGCTTCTTTCTGTCCTCAGGTCATAGATTTATTTGACCTTCAATGACAAATATGTCAATCAACTGATAGTATTCAACGTCCTCATTCACTTCCATGTAAAGTATAACATCTTGCGTTCTGTCATTCGGGCTAAATTAATCCGAGCCGAACCGGAACGGGCAGTGTCTCATCCGACTACGGATCGCCAACCGATATCCCTCAACTTTACCCCAAATAAGACCCTTAATAAACCCCACGAATCTTAGTTCATGGCGGCTAAGCTAACCTTCGAATATGCGGAGAAGCTAAGCTTTCTGGAAGGTCGTCCCAGACTTTAGTCTGACAGCCAATGATGGAAGGTTTCGATAAACCTCAGATAGAAACGACGATGTCCTACGGTTGTTGATTCCGAGTTGTGATACTGTATAAGAGCTTGACTGTAAAGTTGATCTTCATCTGTAAATCATTAATTAGCGATTCAGCAATTTTTACTCACAACAAAGTGTCCTCTACCTCCTCAATATGCCCTTCAAGCGCAGCTTCAACACAGTAGGCGTCCACTGCGGCGGCGAAGTCTGCGACGTTGTAGTCGGTGGCGTTCGCGATGTCCCCGGCAAGACAATGTACGAGAAGATGATGCACTTCTGGAAACATGAAGACCACCTTAGGAACCTCCTCCTGAACGAACCCCGAGGCTGTTCCGCTATGTGCCACAACCTCGTATTGCCCCCTACGAACCCAGAAGCTGACTATGGCTTCATCATCATGGAGCATGAAGAGTACCCGCCCATGTCGGGAGCCAATACTGTTGCGACGGTGACATGCCTCCTAGAAACGGGCATGGTGACAATGCAGGAGCCTGAGACGGTTGTTAAGCTTGATGCGCCGGCTGGACTTGTTACTGCGTATGCAAAGTGTGAGAATGGGAAATGCAAGAGTGTCAGGTTTCATAACGTACCTGCTTTTGTGTTTGCCACTGATAAGGAGATCTCGGTACCGGAACTAGGTACGGTGAAAGTCGACATTGCCTATGGAGGGATGATCTACGTGCTGGTAGATGCTGCGTCAGTTGGTCTGAAGATCAAGACTACGGAGGGAGCCAAGCTTGTCAAAGTCGGAGAGCGTATCAAGAGAGCAGTCATGGAACAAACGGACCCAGTACATCCCGAAAACCCTGGTATCCACGGCGTCACAATCATCGAGTTCACGGAGCCTCTGTATGAGTACAAGGACGGAAAGGCAGCAAACAACACTGTTGTTGTGTCTCCCGGGCGCTTAGATCGAAGTCCCTGCGGAACAGGAACATGTGCAAGGCTAGCAGTTCTCCATGCAAAAGGAGAGCTGAAGGAGGGCGAGAACTTTTTCCATCGTGGTATCACTGGGACAGAATTTGTTGGCCGAGTGGAGGGAACAACCAAGGTTGGCGAGTATTCTGCGATTTATCCCTCTGTTGAAGGACAGGCTTGGATAACAAGCTTCAAGCAAGTTGTGTTGGATTCCACAGACCCCTTCCCTGAAGGGTTTCGCGTAGGTGATACATGGCATCTGGACCCTGAAGAGTAGATATGTTTCAACCTAATAAAAAAGACTTAGGTAAACTTAGGCAACTTTGATAAAATTGAGAAACCTCAAGAATAACGATACAGGAGCCGGCCGGTTTATTGCGGGTATCCTTACCCTCTGAATCCGGAATTGTGGCATCCAGTGCCAGCCTGGGACGTTTGGTGTTCTTTCAACTAAAATTTCCATCCCTCTTCTGCATCGCAGAATGAGTGGTATTCATGGCTCTTCTGCGAGGGTCTTGCTGTCAATATCCATCATCACCTGGCCGCGCCATCACAGAGGTAGGTGACCGGGGTTGGTGGTTCGAGAACAGATGGAGACGAGGTAGGCTCGAACTACGCAGTGTCAAGTGCTGCATTGTAGTTCTGTTCAAGTCCTAGTCAGTATTCGTAATTACCTTGTGGAATAGACGACTTGTAACTCACCTGGTGCTCAACGTTTCCCAAATGCACCCTAAGATTATGGGCATTGTGCTGGTTCTTTCTATGACATTTCATGCCAATAGCGCGGCAAACATACTGGCCCCCAAGCGACAAATAAACTTGTACATTAGGTAGATGGGCGTACAAGGTCCATGGAGATGCTCTCGGGCAGTCACAGCTGTTCGCTGGACTCGGACTGCTCGCTTGGCTTCGGCTTCAACTGAAGCCACTAGCTCACTCACTATTATTGGGCTTATCAGCTTCTTGCTCCAGTAAACAAGTAAATATAAGCTATTACAAGCTTATGGAAATGTGGTCGTGAATACTTACTTGGGAGAGGCGGCGGAGAAGGAGGTGGTGGGCTTGGGGTTGGCGGTTGATTCATGTCTGGTTCTTTGTCAGGAAGGACCACACCCAAAGACTCGTCAACAATCCTCCAATCTCTGAGAGCATCTTTCGAAGATTGGTTTGATATCATGGGATAGGTAGTAAAGTAGTTGTGGGAAAAAAAAAGGTTGGCAGTGTGTTCATGGATAAGGAAAAGCTGGCTGCTTATGTGGAAGGAACGATATGGCGGCAGGTACACGGTTCAATTCTTGGGGAGGAAGGAACGGCACACCTCAAATTTACGTCTAGAAACTCAGGTACCGTCCAGCAGCCTGTAAACCAGCGTGTACCTCTTCACGCTTCGCCAGTGGACGACACAAGACTTACTTATTCACTATGCCCGCAAGGACTTATCAACAATCATATTGGGGGTACATATTACCAGCGCAGTATTGGCCGCTTAAAATGTCTACGCTGTACGTCTAGAACTTCTCGAGGTGGTTGATTGCCGCTCAGCAGTATACTTTGTTCCCGGCCTTTGTCTCCGGGCGATACTTACACCAGGGCCTTTCGACGATCTTTCCGCCATATAAGAAGCCCTTTTCTGGACAAGTTAGATCACAACTGAGACAGCCCGAAAAACAGTCAAGCTGTGAATTGGAAGTTTAGATACTCCAGAGCGCCACTACACAATGATATTACATAACTCATGGTTAGTACGAGATTAGATAGAAGTAAACAAGCGTGAGTCAGGATCATATGATGTAACAATGGTGGACTAGCCCAGTAAGCAATTCTCCCTTCCAAATATCTGCTTAGACCCAATTCAGCTATATGGCTACCTGTAAAGTACACTGATACATGTTCCACGAGTACATACGACACTATCAACTAGCCATTGCATTCAGCAGCATAACAGACACCTTGTCACGCAACCTTTCCTGGATCCAACCGGGGAACCCGCGTATCATAGAAGTCCAGGCCGAGGAATTTGGTACGACGATTTGAGCTCCATGCCCAGTATAAAGTTGTTTCACAACACCATCAGCGACACACTCTGCAGATATCGTGGTATCCTTCATTTTCCCCTTGGCGATGAGGTCTGCAATCAACGGTGTCTTTACCCAAGTCGGATGAATGATGCTATGAACTATTAGTCACACTGCAAAGCAAGTACACGCACTCTATCGTAACATACCTAGCTCGCACCACTGGTGCTTTGTAAATATGTCTCAGCTCCTGCAGCAAACCCTCGTGGAACGCGAGGAGTCCAGACTTGGTACATCCGTAATCGACATTAGAAGCCTGAGTAGCAAAAGAAGCCATACTACCAACGTTGACGATGTGGCCATGGTTTCTTCGTATCATAGCAGGCAGGAAGTGTTTGACAAGTAATATCGGTGCTATCATATTCACGTCAAAGACTTTGCGGATCTTGGACTCGGGACAAGCGAGAATAGACATGGCGTTGCCAATTCCAGCATTGTTAATGAGAACGGTTGGGTCGCCATGTTCAGAGACAATCTGCTTGGAGACTTTGGAGATTTCAATGGGGTCGGAGAGGTCTGCTGAGCAGAAAGACACGTTGGGGGCTAGAACCTGTCAGTTTAGTGCTGAGAAGTCGTGATGTTGACTTACGAAGTTGATAGCCTGGAGCATTCAAATCAACAATTATGACCTTTATGTGCTTCTTTGCAAGCTTGAGGACAATCTCTTTGCCAATACCGCTGCTACCGCCAGTGACAACAACGACTTCTTTTGTCCAGTCCCAACTGCTGTCGGTAAGGTAATTATTGACCTTTCTCCTGGTTAACCAGGCGTTGAAACGCGGGATCAAGCCTATCAAGAATACTGCAGCAGCTCCGGTCAGGATATTCCTATTCTTGGCCAATTCTACTACCTGGCCTAGGGTGGCCTTGTCTAGCTTGGGTAATGACATGGTGAGTGGGTGATAGTGTGATTGCGACAACTCCGAAACAGTTGTTCACAGGGCGATATAGATCGAATAGGAACTCAAGAATGGAAAATTTTATTCGGATATAAAATTGTTAATCATTAATGTGTATTGCCCTTCTTGACGCCAAGGGGTGCGCGGCTCAGGCGATATAATTTGCCATGGTGTTGAAATGCCGAGGGATCGTTCCCGAGGGACAGCCTTGGCTAAGAATCATGCCTTCACCTTGGAGCTGAGGGGTTCCTTTGTTGGATACACCTATTTGTATGTTGTTTCGCATTTAAGTAAATTCTTGAATCAACCATTTCTGCTCAATAGACTAACCGCTAATAATTATTCTCAAGTTTATCCTCTCACGCGAAAATGGCTACTCACAAAGACGTTGATATTCCCACTTATGATGGCCTGAAGCTCAAGGGAACTCTGTTCTCTGTCGGTCAGAAAAAGCCATGTATTATCATGTCAAGCGGAGTAAGTCAGAATTGTTACTAGATTCTATCCTTCACTAAATCGCCCTTCTACGCAGTGGTCAGGACTGCGATCCCATTTTCTGCCCGAGTTTGCAGCACGATTTAACAAAGCTGGCTATGGTGTTCTAACCTACGATAACCGGTGTTGGGGAGATAGCGAAGGTCTTCCCCGGGAACAGGTCGATCCAACCTTGCAAACACGCGATTACCTCGACGTCTTCAACTTTGCGGTCACTCAGCCCGAAGTAGACCCTACCAAAGTCATCTACTGGGGGCCTAGTATGTCCGGCGGAAACGCCATCTGCGCAGCAGCAGTGAACCACAATATTGCTGGCGTCATCTTGCAAGTCCCCTTCATCTCAGGCGAGTGGCTCTCTCGTATGCCAGGCGCTTCGACAAGCTTACTCCTCGGCGAACGCGCCAAGGCCACAGCGGAAGGGTCTCCCTCCAAGATCCCCAACTTCCCCAGTTCCCTTGATGAGCTTAACAGCGGCGCCTCACAAGCTGTTCTCAAGGATCCGCAGTCGATTCCATTTATTGGTGAAATGGAACAGCGAGGACTTGACTGGTCTAAGACGTGTACGGTGCAGAGTCTAACATACGCTCTGCTTCACGAGCCACTGGCTTATATCCATCGTATCTCGCCGACGCCTATGTTGATGATCGTTGCTGATCAGGATGTTACGACGCAGCCTCATTTGCAGCTCGAGGCTTATAACAAGGCACTGGAACCAAAGAAGCTTGTTGTTCTCAAGGGCATGGGTCACTTTTCACCTTACTTTGGTACGCCTTTTGAGGAAAACGTGCAGGCCCAGATTTCATATCTCGATGAGCTCTTTGCGTGATATGGGATACGACAAGGACTGGAGAAGGTAGCATAGAGTAAAGTAGATAGATCAATCCCGAAATACGTTATTGTTATAGAACACGACTAATGTGGATTGTATTGAAGGCGATCTGATGCTAGGAGAGCTTGTCGAGCATTGTCAAGTTCCAAGGTTTTCTTCTATTACTCCTAACGTACTCTCCAGTCAGAAGAACTGGTTATTGAGGATGCCCTTTACCTTCTGGAAAGCGCAAGGCATGCCAAGGCACCCTGGCTCAATTAGAGAGGTTGATCTTTCGTAATTGCAAAACATTCTGGTGTGAAGAATATATCCAATGGGTCAAGCTATAGCTATATTTATTCTCTTAGTTATCTGTTTAGAAACAACCGCACTGAAACAGGAGAAACACTCTATTACGAGCCCAACTCATTGAAAGAACTCATTGATCGCCACCTATGACACATCAATCGCCCATGATTGACTCTATAGCTTAGGCGTAGCACCCACTGACTTCCCCTTCTCTCTTTCTTGCAAGACACGTCTAAGGATCTTACCACTAGGGCTCTTGGGAATAGTTTCGATAAACTCCACACCACCCTGAAGCCACTTGTACTTTGCCTTGTGACTCCCAACATATTCGCAAATCGCGGTCTTTACCTCTTCGTCAGACTTAGTACCCGTGCCAACATCCTTCACCACAAAGGCCTTGGGCACTTCCCCGGCGAAATCGTCAGGAACAGGGATGACTGCACAATCTGCAACGAAGGGATGAGAGAGAATATGGGCCTCGAGCTCCGCAGGAGCCACTTGGTTTCCCTGTTGTTTCCATCAGTTGTGCTTATGTTTAATGCGAATTGATGGGCTGTAGATACCTTAACTTTAATCAGCTCTTTAATTCGGTCGACAATAACGATGTGCTCTGCACCAAGAGGTGACAGACGTACGACAACGACGTCACCTGTTCGAAGCCATCGGCCGTCCTCATCCCATACAAAGGTCTCTGCTGTGGCTTTGGCATTGTTCATATAACCGAGGCAGATGTTTGGAGATTGGACGAAGAGTTCGCCTGGCTTCTCAAGCTCAGTTACTTCCTTGCCAGCCTCATCGATAACCTTGCATCGGGTACCCAATATGATTGACCCAGAAGTGCCGTGGAAAATGTCATGCTCGCTTGTGGTGCAAACAGCAGGACTACTTTCCGTCAAACCTGGAAGATCAAGTAGTGTCAGTTATTATCCCAGGAATCCATTCGGTGCACATCGTCTTTCTTACCATAACCCTGCCCAACTTTCCATCTTGGCCATGACTGCTGCATACTCTCGATTGTCTTGGCCCCGAGGGGTGCAGCACCTGAAGTAACCCATTCTATGCTACTCAAGTCGTATGAATCGCATTTCCCTTTGTTCTGAAGTAGCTGGATGGCGATAGGTGGGACCTGAACAGTTTCCAGGTCAGTTGGATACAAGGGCAGTGTGTAAAAGAACAACCTACAAGCGGTAAATGGCGGACTTTGTACTTTTGTATGGCTGCGAGCATGTGGCCTAGATTGTATCGTGGAAGCACGACGACCTCATCGCCATGCCACGGCATTATGTGAGAGATGATGACTAGTCCATAGATGTGGCTGAATGGCAGCAGACCCAGCCCGACCTGTGTCTCAATACCAGCTAATTTCCGCCCATAGCTCTCATACGCGACTTGCAAGGCAATGTTACTGATGATGTTGTAGTGAGATAGCATGACACCTTTCTAAACCCATATTAGCATTTGCCAGAAGGAACTGTCGATTATGCAGCGTCAGAAAACTAACCGGAAGGCCAGAGGTTCCGCTAGAGAAGCAAATATAGGCAACCTGTCGTTTTCCTTGCTCCTTGACCCATCGCAACGGTGGGAGCGGAGGCAATTGTCTTCCTTCATCTATCAACGCAGATAGGGCAACAAACTTGTTGTTATTTGTTTGACCAGGCATATCGAGGATGAAAATATGGTCCTTGGAGATATTTGCCGCTGCCGCTGCCTCCAGAGCCACGGGAAGGAGAGGCATACAGGTGAATAAGGCGTTTGCACTTGTCGAACGGAGTTGATGTGTAAGTTCAGAGACGCTATATGCTGCATTTGCAGGCGAAGCAATGGCGTTAAGACGATGCAATGCGTGGGTCAACGGAACGTAATCGATCTAATGCAAACAAAATCCAGTCAGTCATTACCTCCAGCATTTCCCAGGATTCTGGGCTTAAACTTACCGTGTTCCAAGAAAAAACACAAGCCACCTTATCCCATTCCGAGCCGTTCGAAACGCTCCAATCGAGTCGTTTTGCTATGGCCTTGGCCATAGAGTCCACCCTTTCTCGGACCTCAGCAACATTATACGTCTGGCCTGTCAAACCACAAGTGTATGGGTTGCGGGACAGGTCCAACGATTTGCGGCCATGTTTTTCCGAATACATGAATTCTTCGACTGTGATGCTGTCGGGGAGAGGCACTGAAGGGAGGGCTTGCGCCCATGCTGGTGATTCGAAGACCATGATAGCTTCAGCTGAACCCAAGGAAGAATCGGTAGACAATAGTAGTGAAACTGGAGATTCGTCTGGAGATACGACTATATTCTACGTCCAGACTCTTTGCCTTGGGGCTATTCGAAACGCGACCCTCGGGACTGTTGCCTCGGCATTAAGTCGACACACTCACACTGTACTGATGGATCTCGTGCAACAGCCCCGTTTCCTTTTACCTTGGGAAATTTCTGATTCTGTGATGATCTTATGATCATTATTTTGTACTCCCTCGGTAGTGCCGAGTTAGTAGAATACGATGAATGTTTCATCCAGAGACGCGTATTTATGCTTAATACCCCACACTCTGTAGGTTCAAACGACGACACCACAAATACGAGAGCAAATACCTATCAGAGAAATACGAACTACATATTAAACACAGAAAATATGATTAACGACACTGCTAAAATTAACGGCGACCATCTTGGCCAGAATGGCTATACCGCCACACAGAACGGTTCTGGAGAGAACCGGCCCAAGTTTACCTTGAAAGACACTCCTGTCGAGAATCAACGACCCATGAGGGTCGTGATCATCGGGGCTGGCTTCTCTGGTATCTATTCAACTATTCGGTAAGTCATCTGTGTACTTAAGATCGAATAACTTTGAGTAAATGCCGAGAACTAACGACTTAAATAGAATAACGCAGAGATTGAGGAATATTGATCTTACCGTCTATGAGATGAATGAAGAAACGTCAGGAGTCTGGTAAGGCATCTAGCTTCCAAATACTGGTAACATTGACCTTATTTAACAACAGGTGGTTGAATCGCTACCCTGGCCTGGCCTGTGATATTCCATGTGGGTCTCTGTCTTTGATGAAATAATTATTTTAATAGAGGCTGATGAAAGACAGCGTACTGTTACCAGTTCAGCTTCGCGCCGAACCCCTATTGGTCCTCACTTTATGCCCCAGGCGCAGAAATCCGTGCATATATGCAAGATGTCGCCGAGAGATACGGTGCCAATCGATTCATCAAGACTTCCCATCAAGTCACTTCAGCGACTTGGGACTCGGAGAACAAGGTTTGGTAAGTGATGCGAAAGGGAGGTGACTAGCCCCAAGACGGCTGACAAAAGACTTTAGGAGACTTATTGTGAAGAACTTCAAGACCGGAGAGACATTTGAAGATACCGCCAACATCCTTGTCTCTGCAAAAGGTGGTCTAAATCAGATAGCTTGGCCGGAGATCAAGGGGCTGAAGCAATTCGCGGGTAAGCTCATGCACTCTGGTGCTTGGGATGAGAGGTGAGTACATGTTCAGCTTGCGTCAAGTGAAAACAACTTAACATTGTTCTAGTTGTGACTTGGCAAACAAACGCGTGGGAGTCATTGGCAATGGATCGAGCGCCATTCAAATCGTGCCAGCCATCCAGAAACTTGAGGGCATCTCGATCACTTGTTTCGCTCGATCACCGACGTGGATCATTCCTGCATTTGGCGACACAGCTATGCAGAAATTAGGAATGGATCCTTCAGAGACTAAGTGTGAGTTCCTAGACATATCCGTCATCTGGGAGTGGCAGGCTAACATGGACAAGTCTCGCGCCGTCACCAAGAACAGTTGGCGAGGAAGCCAGAGAAGTACTACCAGATGCGAAAGACACTTGAAGATGAGGCCGCAAAAATCTATCCTCTGACTTTGATGGGCACTGATGTACAGAATGGGGGTAAAGAGTTTTTCAAACATCAAATGGAGGAGAAACTAAAAGGCAGAAAAGACCTCCAGCAGATTATCCCAAAGTTTGCCCCTGGTTGTCGTCGTTTGACTCCCGGCCCTGGATATCTCGATGCGCTCCAACAGGAAAACGTCAGCTTCATCAGCCAAAAGATTGAGGAGATCACGGAACGAGGAATAAAAGTCGCCTCCGGGGAAGAGGTCCAACTTGATGTGTTGGTTTGTGCAACTGGCTACGACGTCGAAGCACCTCCAAGCTTCCAAATCACCGGTCGAAATGGAAAGACGCTCACCGAAAAGTGGAAGCCTCACTTCGAGTCCTATATTTCACTCGCAGTCGACGAATTCCCTAACTTCTTCCTCATTGCCGGTCCCAATTGCGGTCTAGGCTCAGGCAGCTTACTTAGCGTCTTCGAAGCACAGGGCGACTACATCGTCAAGGCGATCCGCAAGCTTCAGAAGGAAGACTACGCTACGATGGAGGCCAAGCCCGAGCGTGTGGCTGACTTCAGTCAGTACATAGACGAGTACTTCAAAGGCACCGTGTACACGGATGAGTGCTCATCGTGGTATCGCTCCGGTAGGCTTGGGTCACGCATTGTAGCGCTGTGGCCTGGGTCCTCTGTGCAGTGCCTTGAGGTGCTGAGATCGCCGCGCTGGGAGGATTATGAGTTTGAGAGTGCGGACCCTACGGGGAATTTACTGCGGTGGATGGGGAATGGTTGGAGTCAGACGTTGACTGAGGGTGATCCATCCTGGTTTTTGGATCCGGATGTTGTGGATGCTCCAGACGAGGGGAAGCCTGAGGAGAGCGAATTTTATCGAAGGCGTCCGTTCTCGTATTAAGATAGGTATCGGTGCAATATGGAATAAATTGTAACGTCGATAAGGCTATCCAACTTGTTCGTCTCAGTCACTGGGAGACTTCCGATCTAAGGCGCAACGACAAGTTCCTGTGGACATCGTGAAGAAGAGAGCCTTGGGCCATCTACCTGCTTACATGGACTCCATTTTGAGGCTTGGTCGGTAGTCATCAACAAAATGGTAGTTATCTGAGTTGCGCAAAACCGAGGATGCAGTATGAAGTGATGGAGTGAAGATTGAGGTCCATACATGATTGATGTAGAGGCTGCCTGTTATGTGAATACTCACTGCGATTGAAACTGACAACGTATCATGATATTGGCTAGATGCAGCCTTTCAACATGGAGGCTTACCATATTGTCTGCATTGGATGTCTCGATAGCCTGTCCCTTTACCCCAGACCAGTCTAGAGGTACCTAAAGTGAGAATATGGGGTAAATGGGTGATATTGGACCCACAGCTATTACCACGGCAGAGCCGAGTTGCTCTACCGAGGGAGTTACAGCGCTAGCCTCAGGGAGTAAGAAAATACAAGATATTGAGATAAGGTGTCAAAATAAATATGACAGACGGCATACTGAATGTGCTCTAAATTATATCAAGTTACCCAAGTCTTTTTGTCATTTAGAATCAAGGCCCTAAGTTTTCTTTCCTCTCCTAGGCCAGCCTGCCGGACCGGTGGCTTCCTGCTAGTCATCTCAGGTCAGCACCCAATGTTACTGCTGGTGTACATCTAGGGTGAAGAACACCCCAGCTCGTTAAATCGTCGGAAATGTTTCCGTTGAATCCATTTCCCCGCAAAGTTAAGGCTTACCCCAGGTGTCCTTGACTCCTTTAACTGGTATAATCATGACAAGCCAGGATTCTGCGGCAATGCCATTCGGTATTCTTTCCCCACGTCTCCACCCAATGGCCCGTTTGCCTGTCTAAGGCACCACGGGGTCTTCATCTGAACCCCAATCCCTTACCTTGGGAGTTATTCACTTCCATCTCAGACTCGACCAACCACGAAAATGGACTCTACAGTCTTGTCGCCGCCGCTTTCCACGCATCAGAAAACAAAGCGCACTCAGCGTCGCAAAAGATCAACTCGAGCTTGTCTGTCATGCAGGTTTAGAAAGGTCCGCTGCGATGTCTCTGTTCGCGGCCAACCATGCACCAATTGCCACCTCGACTGCAAGAATTGCCTGGTAGTTGGACGCGCTTCCAGGCTGTAAGCAATCTCCCTCACTTCTTGATAACGCTGTGCTCATTTCATTCCTTTACTAACTCACCTCGACTCTAGAAATCAGCAGGTACCAAGGAACGAGTCAAACTGGTCGCCTGAGGATGATTATCAAGAGGACGACCGGCAGCTGTCGGAGCATCTGGAAGACGATGATGTTCATGAGATCAATAACTCCAATGGCGCCGAAACTGTTCCCACGGCCACTGAGGCGCTCGATGAACACCCTGGGTTATCTTTTCACACGCCCAGTATCGACCCTGGGATGTTGACATTTGGTGACGCTATCGACGACGCGGCCTTTGAAAATCGCCTCGGAGACAGCGAGACAGAGACCGCAGAGTTCCACTCGACATCATCAAGGTATGATGGCGGTCCGACCATCACAGGTAAACAGCTCATCCTCATTATTCACTCCACGGCATCTAACCAGATTCAAACAGAAACAAGCGCATCGGAACAAGAGTCCATATATAGTCATAAGACCACGGCCCCTAGAATTCCACCGGCTCAGTCGGCGGCACAGAGGACCAACACCAGTACAACGGTGCTCTTTATTCATTACCCGTATCTGAAAATTCACAACATGCACATGATTGCTCAACAAGATCTTAATTACATGGAGGCTCAGGGGTGTTTACACGTTCCAAGTCGGCCGATACTCGACAACTTTGTGGAGCAATACTTCAGACACCAGCATCCTCTCCTTCCACTCCTCAATGAAGGTGATTTCTGGGAGATGTACTCCCAGAAGGAGTCTACGGGTCCGCAGCCCACCATATCACTGCTGGTGTTTCAGGCTATGCTCTTTGCCAGTTGTAACGTGAGTTTGTCCTTCATGCCACATCGCTTGATACAGCAGCGTCGGCTAACAATATCAAAATTTGTAGTTCGTATCTCTTCACATCATCAAGCAACTTGGTTTCTCTAGTCTTAGAACTGCTCGAGCAGAATTCTACAGACGAACGAAGGTTGGTGTTAGGATAACCCAATAATCCACCACCAAACTAACTGAAGACTTGCAGCTGTTGTACGATCTAGGTTCGGAAACATCGTCCCTACCTCTAGCTCAAGCAGCTCTTCTCATGATGGGCTGGGTACCACCTTCAAACACCACCTTAAACCCCTACAAGACTTGGCTGAGCTTGGCTATCCAGCACGCCAGAAGTATCAACGCGGACCGGTACACAGAAGTGCCAGAGCTAATAGAGATGACATCCACGCAACAACGGAAATACCAAAACTCTCTTCATCGCTTATGGTGGTGCTGTGTCATCATGGACCGTATCTCGCCGCTCTGCACGCGCTTTAGCCTCAATATTACCCACGACCGATTTGACTTTAGGAACACGATCCCTTTGGGCGCCGAACACCTTCAGGACGACATATATCGTTCAAGTGTATTCACTCCAGCTACTAAACGGCGACAAATCAGCATTTTCTCAAAATTTCTTGAACTTATGATTCTCTTGACTGATGTACTTACCCTGACGTACCCGTTCGAGGATTCTGTCGAATCAAAGTCGCGATTCGCAGAGGACAAAGACCTCACCTTTGAGAAATGCGAGGCCGCCTTGAAGGCCTGGTATGTGAGGGTCTCGGCTCAGTTCCCTCCCTTTGAGAATACGCACGAAGACTCGTGTGGAAGAGAAAACGACCAGGAAAAGTCTATTGTGCTGCAGACGAATCTCATGTATATCTACTATCAGTGAGTTGTCCTATATCTTGGCGTCAAACCTGGACTAACTAAGGACATAGTACTGCATCTATTGCACTCTGTCATTCCAAGATACTGCGACAGTCTCTCACATCCGAATCCAACATTGAAGATATAGCAAGACCAGGGCGAAGTCTAAAGCTCCAGCAAAGCTCACTTGAGGTACAAGATGCTGCTCAGAAGATTACAGCATGCTATGAAGAGCTAACCCGACGTCGTTTGGCCCGCTGGCTCCCGGTATCAGCGTAAGTCCAACAAGCCGAACGTGGCAATATAATTTGCTCCTTAATTCTGGAACTAATGTTCTATTACAGCCTTGCTTGTCTAGCTACACCATTGACGCTTCATACCATCACCGCGCGATTGTCATCGCTTAGTAACCAACTATCATGCAACGAATCGGTGGAAGCCGGCTCAGCTCCAGCATCAAATCAGGATCGACTGAAAGCACTGGTCGAGACAATGAACGTTTTCTTTCCCCAGTACTATGGTGTAGAGTGGGTGAGGCAAACAGTTCGACACGTTGCCAATTTAGCCCAGATTGACAGCCAGTGTCTATTCAAGGCTAGTGGCAATTCTTTGACAGATTGGAGTCAGATTCTGAGGAGCCAGCCGAATATGTATCTGAGAATGATCTGGACAGTCGATGTTTGCATCAGTAAAGGCAGGCAGCCGGAAGAATTTGATTTCCCATCATGGCTGCGCTGCTTGTTGAAGAGGAGCAAGGGATCAAGAACCAGACCGAATCGACTGTCATACACGGCTGAGCAAGCGACTAACCAGACAAACCTCGTCGATGATGAACTACTAGTGTTTATTACTGATCCCAAGCTGTCTGCTGCCGAGGAGGATATCTTTGGGGAACAATTGCTGGAAATGTTTAACCCGCAGAAGCCTTATGATCAACAGAGTCGGAACGGACTTGTTGATTGTGGAACATCTCAAGGGGCAGTGGGTGGGATGGATTGGGGCCTGGTTGAAGCAATGCATGATGTAACAGAGAACATGCTGGATCGGCTGGGGCCAGACTTCATGGCTTGAGATTATCTTGCGGCAGTATAATCAAATTTCAAATGCTTTAAACTATTTCATGGTGCCATCTAAATTCTCTCCGCTGATTTAGGCTCTCAGCAACAAGTCTCAACTGCAAATAACACATCTAGCCCTAGTACTATCATGGATATGACTGCTCTGAATAGAGTATACCCGACAAAGCAAAGACCTTCATGGCAAATTATGAAATTATTTCTCAAAGTCTATAAGCAAAAGTACAGTCTATAAAACATTTCAGTCATAGCAAGAACCACTACTGGACCCATCCCTCCTTTTTCATAGTCTCTCTCGTCCACTCATCCAACTTCTTCACCAACTCCTCATCTTTCGCCGCCCCATTCTGCCACCAAGGCTCAAACAACCGATGATAGATCTCCATATACTCTCCACTCTGCTCGGGTTTCATGTCTGGACTCGCCGCGCAGAAAAGACTGTTCCAAGACCCCCTATCAGCAGTCCACATCAGTTTCATACATCTCAACAATGACACCATTCGCAAGCTCATAGTCTGGGCTGAATCGATACTAGATGAGAGATTTGTCTCGACGAGGCCGGGATGCACTGATGTTACCCAGATCTCGCCTTCTTTGTTACCTGAGCCGGGACCGTACTTGTTGTGGAGGGCTCTTGTGTGGAGAATGTTGGCGAGTTTGCTTTGGCCGTAACGCTCCCATATACTCGCTTCTTTGAGGGATGTATCTTCAAAGTTGATACCTCCCTTGGGGGCCATTAGATGGCCGGATGAAGAGAGGTTGACGATGCGCACAGTTCCAGGGGGTGATGACTTTGATGTTTTCAGCATCAATGGAATGAGGTGTTCGGTGAAAACCCAGTGCGAAAGATAATTGGTCTCCCACTGGCCCTCATGCCCATCTTTGGTAATCTCATATGGTGAAGCCATGATGCCAGCATTGTTGATAAGGCCATGGAGGGATGTTTCCAAGGAAAGGAAGTGCTTAGCGGCAGCGACAACACTTCCAAGATCCATCAGGTCGATTTGCAATAGATCAATCTTGGCTGAAGGATAATCTTTTTGGATCTCGGTAATAGCCTTTTTCCCCTTGTCGAGAGATCTTGAACACATATAGACGTGGGCGCCATGCCTTGCTAAATGGGAAACCGTGTAGAGTCCCCTGCAAGAAAGGTCAGCGATCTAGAGCTGTTGGTAGAAGGATTAAAGGTAGACTTACATTCCAGAATTACCACCTGTGACAATATACACCCTTCCGGTGAGATCTGGGAGGTTATCGGGGTGAAAGGTCATTGTGACGGCTGTCTTGCGAAATCGAAATAAGTATTAGGTAAACTGAGAGAGCAGTGTTGATGAGCTGTAGTAGTTTTGAAATGATATGCATACAGACTTGGGAAATCCATAATAGAACTGTCTTCTTATAGTTCCTCCTGATGAAGTCCGCAGGAAAAGTCCGACGCTTAACTCCACAGCTAATTCCATCGTCTTTTGCACATCAAGTGTTGTGAGCAGGCTGCATAAAGACAAAATGTACCTGGCCAATCATAATCTATTTCATCGGACACTAGTGCAAAGCCAGAAACGGACGAGTGAGCAGGTTGCATGACGCTAGACTATTTCGATCTAGACGATATGATATCAACCAATCATCCTATCACATTGACTCTCTACCCTTGCTAGTCTGCGCCTCAATATCCAACGTCTTTACCCGTCAGACACGACAATGTGAGCAGGCTGCATTTCCCTTCGGCATCAACACTCCGCAGTTTCATCATGTCGATTCATCAGCAAGGGCCATGCGTCCAGCTCACTTCTATGCCGCAATTGGCTGAGGTATGATCCCACAAGATGGTTCGGCGCAACTTTCTCACCGGGTATAGGCACTGAGCATAGAAGATGACTGGACCGGGACAACAGATGCTGCAGCAAGAAGAAGGGCGCAGACGAGACTGAACATGAGAGCATACCGTCCGTCACTGATCATGTTTCTCGGGCTTTCGAGCTAATTGTGGGACAGGAAAGCGAAAGGCCCAGGAAAAGAAGGCCAAGGCGTCAAAGCCTCAGGCCGAGACAATCAAACCTGAGCCAGTTGTCGAATGTTGGGATATCAACCAAGAATTGATGTCCATCGTCCCAGCATCTCATGCCAAGAGTATATATAACGCCAGACAGCCCCTGCTCGCGTACAGAACCAAGAAGAATCAGTCAAATCTCGCCTTCCCTCTAAGTTCAGATCACCTTATCACACTTCTCCAATACAACGCCCTCCGAGCCTTGGCCGTCAACAGGACTCTCGTCTCCGGCATGCTAACTACACCTCTTGACTGCGGCGATGAAGACATTATCCACGTAGTCCCATACCCAACAAACCCAGCTTCACTCCCTTCAGCACTTCTCCCCACAGTTCTCCAACAAACAGTCATGCACTGTGACTGGATTGATATGTTTCCCTCCCCAGAGGCACGAGACTGTCTGATTCGAGCTTATGGTACCTTTGATGAGGATGATTTATGGGCTGATTGTATTGGGGGTTTATACGAAGGCTTTCCGGACGATGAAATGGAAAGACGTGGTTTGATTGCTTGGTCACCGCCGTGGGATGTATCAGGATGGGAAATGTCAGAGGGGTTCGTCAAGAAATGGGGTTGGTTATTCAAAGACTTGTCTGGGCCGTTGGAGGCGACGAATCGTTGGAGGGTGGAGAGAGGTGAGGAGCCTCTTGACCAGAAAGATTATCCACCAAGTCCTCCTGTGTCTGGTTTTGTTATATCCGAAGTTTAGTGTCAACATGGATCTTGCAATCGAACTAGTCTAGGTAAATAGTGAACGTCAAGACTTGTATCCGAAACAAACGAGAAGTTTATATTGTAGAAAATTCAACATGCTATAGAATAAATACTTTTAGCAACTGAAGCCAAGCTTAAATGGTTTCTTGTTCGCTTGAGCCACCGGATTCACCTCGTCTCCCCGCAAATATAACAGGCTTGGACAGCGACATGGTCAGGCATTTCCGACAATGCCCTTGATGTCCTCAATCAGACTTCGGATTCAGAACTTGAAAATATATCCTTCTCGATCCAGCACGTCATCTCCCAGCGATTTAAGCAAAGATACCATAGTTCACGTTGACCAATCACACCGCCCCCGGCATCTATCCGCTCTTTTCTCTCCTTTAGAGCAGGAGCCCAGTCTTTCCGCAGTTGACGCAACTCATCAAGAGCAATCTTTTGTTTCTGCTGCAGGATCTCTTCCTGTCTTTCATCGATCAAATGCACCGGAGTTATCATTTTTGGCGCCCTCCAGTCGCCAACAGAGTGCTTTTGGCTCTTCCGGCAGATAGCAAGTTCCAACAGCAGATATGCACTCCGATTGCCGAAAGTACCCCAGTCTGTAATATTTGGCGCAGGACCATATCCCAACGGAATTATAATTCTCGGTCCGTCGTATGCTTTCCTAAGGTCGTGGTGGTGCATTGTCCGTAACAGGAAACTATCCTCGACTTTCACGCATTTCCAGAGATTCGTTGTATCGTAACGATGTCGCATCGAAGGAGGGTTGGCAGGATACCCTGTGTTCATTGCTAGTTCCCTGGGGAAGGTATGTCGCTTCCAGTCAACCAGAAGAACCTCCTCCAGGGCTGGAAAATCCTCGATAAGTGGATACAAGCAGCCCTTTTCACAAGGATGTACGGGGGGCGGCTCATCATATTCTATCGGGTTGTAGATACAACCTGTGGAATAATCAAGAGCCAGGCGCCGCACTCTCGTGGCTTCATCAGAATCGAGCTGCACAACGCCGCAATATGTTGGATCTTTAAACAAGACGTCTCGATCATAATTGAACCACGTTCTTGGCTCCTGAGTACTGGTCTTGAAAGCGAGCTGGTATCCCTTCTTCATAAGAAAGGCTCGTGAGTCCATGCATGTATGAAGAAGGACTGGGATTGGAGCATTGCTGTAGAAATATTGTTTCAGGGGGCATCTGTGTTGTAGCCAGTCGTAGAGGCTTCCTCCATAATTCCAGAGCCGCAAACGACAATGAGAATGCTTGCAACCGGATACCACAGTTTTGAGATGGACCACACGAGCTGGTGTGGCGAGGAGGTAGATTTCCTGCCGGATCTCTGGGGGCAGGCTTTGAAAGTTGGCCATTGCTTGTGTGTTTGAGAAATAGATGAAATGGGGGAAAGGAAATAACTGAATAGGGTATCATTTCTGGGGAGTGTAATGTATAAGTACTAAGTAGGTGTAAGAATAGAGTTGTAGATTAGCCAGTGAGTAAACCTAGAACTTGTTTTGTAAAGTTGAAAATTCCTGGCTTTTTTTATAATAACCCTCTCATTGGATCTTTTACCTTGAATTAAACAGTTTGACTGCCGTCATAAGGTTGAGAGGTTGAAAGAGACTTCAGCCACAACACACAAACTTTTACAAGAAGAGCTATTCCTCAGAGCATGTTTATATCAGGGGGTTTACGCAGAATCTACCTGCAACTTAGATGACAAGTGCTCGATTTGACCATCAACCAAACTCAAATTGAGCTAACTTCGAGATCTTGATTCTCAATAAAGCAAAATGATGACATATATCAGTAGAAATGGGGGCGTCAGTCAAACTTTCATTGGGGACACGCAAACTTTGAGTCTCATGTTGTAACAAGAATTCCACAAATTGCGGATTGTTGACATAGATCTTATCCATCTGTTGAACATTTTCTAAGTTATTGGTGAGCTGTGGAATGCCCAGTTCTTTGCTCTCCTAACAAGATCAAAGTATCAGCATTGAATGTTCTAGTATATATTTATATCATGATGCAATGATCTGTCCTTTTCACCTGTACTGACATGCTGAAGTTTGCTAGAACCCCCAAGTAAGGGCGACCTGATTGTCCTTGTTCGATCCGGAAAGCTTGTTTATACGGAACGTTGTTTGAAGCATTTCAGAACCGATACTTCGTTCTCGTCGGATAAATTGGTGTTCAGCGTCGGTGAGGAGATGTACAGGTTTAAACTTAGGCAGCTTCCCGCTTGGCCGCCCCAACTCAGCCCAGAACTGTCCCAACTCTAACTCCAGGTATTCCCGTCCCTGATCAAGAGATCTCCATTTCTCATAAGGCTCACTGAGATACTCGGCGAGATCTGTGTCTCTTGGTATGGACGCTGGAGGGTCTAGGCTCCAGAGAGCACACCAATAGCCGAGCGACAATGCGTGCGGGCTCGGATGATCAGCTTGGACAACAAGACGACCGAGATATCCATCAATTTTCTGGATCTCTGCAAACTTGTAGAGGTTCCTGGTGTCGTAGCTGTGTCTCTGCAGAATAGGGTCAGGGAAATAGCGAGGCGTGTACAAAGTTTTCCCCTCCCTGTGCCACTCAATGAGAAAGATTTCTTGAAGCTCCCCGAAACTTCAAAGAACCAACCTGATACCTAGATGGTAGACGTTGATGAACCACCTCTCGTAGGCTATTTTTCGAATTCTTTGGGCATCCTCGAACGGGAACGGATTGATGCCTTGGTACATCAAGATCAATGCCCCTCTGTCGATAAATAGGGTATCTCTTTTGAAGTTGAACCAGAATTGACTGCCAGTTGATTGGACTTGGAAAGCCAGCTTGTAGCCCGTTCTTGATAAACAAGCCCGGGACTCAGAGCACGTGTGTAGTAGAGAGGGAATGGGGGTGCTGCAAAAGACACGCCCTTTTCTTATGTCGCCTGAGGATGGGTATCGAACGTGAACAACACGGTCTGGTGTGGCCCAAAAATAAATTTCATGGCGAATCTCCAGTGGGAGATCCATCATACGGTGAAAGGACTTCAAAGGCATGATGAGATGTTAGCTTGTGATATGGAAAGGTTTGCTGAGTTCCTCAGCATGAAAGTGGGAGGGGATTCACTTTTTCTATCTTAGTTGATGTGAGTGAGATTCTTGAGTGGCTTTGGTGGCGCTTGGGAGTCGGGCCATGCCCAAATACACTGTGAACATAGCATTTCTTGTCGTCATCATATTTCCGTACATATGCTCGCGTGCTTTGCGTTGTGCCACTGGTACGAGGGCATCACCGATTTAGACTTGATGGCGAATTTAGGAATCGTGGCTCTTCCAAAGAGGGGGCCAAAATGTAAGGCCACTATCTGAAATGAAAAAAAGACGTAGGATAATACAATACAGGCTGGATGCTTTTAGGCTGCCTAATCATTTTATACCTTGATTTAGAGTCAGGAGTTTTCTTGCTTCCTAAGGCCATGACACCAAAGCTTTAAGACTGTGACTACGGATGATACAAGTTTATCTGATACATAAAGAGGTGCATTTGAAACATAGGCTAAGGATAAGAATGAAACCCGTGGCGGAATATTTTGTACGTTCTGCCGACAGGGGAGAGGGGCACAAGATGTGATAATCCGTGACCGACGTTTCACTTGATAGAGATCGGAGGCTTTATTACGAAAAGCACAAGACATAAAACTCGGCAGTAACCCAATTGCACGGCTTTGGGGAGAGAATAATTTGAATGCAATGATGTATCATCACTCAGTTCAATTAAAGTCTATACCCTCAATTCCTAGTCGATGATGATGGGACTCCGCAGATGCTACTCTGTACCTGCAGATAGAGCCAGGTACCTGGTTGCTATGTGGATTCTTTCGTAACCCACCTGAATGACCGTACCTAATGTTAATATTGAACACAACATCAATCCACAACGTACCATGTTCCATAGATGGCAAAGAATGCAGTGTCGTCATTGGTTCTGAGACGCGATTGTAAACAAAGAGCATCAATAACTCCAAGCCTTTGTTTACAAAAAGTAAAAAATGAGGCTTTGTGTACACGCACACGAACACGCACAGTGGACAAAGAAAGTTCAGGGGCATCCCTACAGGGATTAGCCAGGCCAGGTCGCCCGTGCCTTGCTTGGACTGGGGATGAAAGACGGGACGCCGGAAGCTTTAGCCACAAGTTGGTAGGGGAGGGGTTAGGAACAACACATGGCTGATTGTTCCGGAAACAGACCAAAACAACAACGATCAGACTGTTGCACGCAACTTTCCTTGATCAGGACATACTTTTTATCCTGTATCATCACAGAGAATGTAGTTTAGACCAAGCGTGAGGTGTCTGAGGCGGACCGGGCCTAGGAACACCGGGCCTGCAAAAAGCCACTAAACATCATCAACAGGTTAGCGCAATCTAGTGAGTTCGCAGCCTGTTCCCCACTGGAACCCAACCCCGACCCTGGCCCTGAAGAACTGGGCTGTCTGGGTATCATTGACTGGACGGGATCTTCTTCTCCAAACCCAAGGCACGGCACTCGCTTCAACCCCTGGAGATATCATTTCTTCTTTACATTAGCAACAAGCTTAAGCGAACTGTCACTGTCACCTTCTTTCAACTCTTTTTTTCTTGTTCGTGTCTCCAACTTGCATCTTCAATATTTCCTCTCTTGCTCTGCTGTGTTAGGTTGATGCCTTCATCGTTCGCCTCATCGTTAGTTCCCGCAAGCCCTTCCGTCCCGTCGTCCACCCGCCAACGCTAGGCCCCCCGATAAACAAAACCCCTTCTGGACCCCTTACAAACAAGAGCTATCCGTTTGTCTCGGGCAATCTGGTCAACCGCATTCCTCTTAAAGACAACGACTTCTGCTGAACACGATACTATTACCCCACGACACTCTTGCAAACACTTTCATCATGGAGGATTCCTCCCAGAAGCGCATGAGCGCTATTCCGCGACTCTCGAAGCTACCTGTACCAAGACCAACTTCAGGAATTCCAAAGCCAGCATCGGCTCTACCAAGGCCTACATCAGTTGTTCGTCCCTCGCCATCAAGGGAGAGTCTAGGCGGTGGTGAGCTACGGAATCCTCGGCTTCGTCCTTCGATGTCGAGAGATCAATTACGAACTGGTCAACCAGATCTCCAACAGCGAGCGCAAAGACTGCGACCTGCTGTTTCCAGAGAACATCTCAACACTGGAACGAGACGTACATCGCTCATCACAAAACCTACACATCTATCCCCAGCAAAGCCTATGGCTCAACGGATTCCTTCGACGCCGCATCGATCGATGGAGCGACAAGCTGATATTATTGAGGAACAATCTACAACACCCCCATATGATCCTCCGGGAGAAGCCATGGGTGTTCAATTCGACGGAAACATCTTCCCTCGTCAATTGACCCTTACAAGGAGACCATCAGAGACTTTCGCAACTTCACCGTTGTATGATCCTGCCAACAACATCTTCGACCCAAACCAATCAAGACCACGAACCGCTTCGACCGACGAGGATGATAGACCCGATACATTGAGGGCTCGGTCTCGTAAGCCAAGACCCTCTCTGAGCGAGAGGACCATCGAGACTCTTGCTTCCATTCCCTCTTCTCCTGCCATGATGAAGTCGTCAAACTTCTTCGACCAAGGACGATCAAGTTCACGTCCGCGTTCGAGGGCGGATAGCGGTGGTTCTAGACCAGGTTCTAGCTATGCTTCAGATGCTTCAGTTAGGATTTACAGGACAGAGAGTCGGCCTGGCTCTAGTTCAGAACAGTCCGATCTCGGTTACAGCAGCTTTCGAGGTTCCGCAAGTGCCTTCAGAAAGCCCCTGACTCCCATCGATGGCACTCCTCAGAAGCGGTCATCAGTGGTCGGGAGCAAGACTCCCAATGCTCGAGCAGGAGCCTCCAAGCCAGCTCCTTTCTCTGACGCGAGAAGCCCCAGCCCTGGTAAGCCTACTATGATGTCTCCCAAGGGCTCGCAGTCTATGGCTTTGCGACCTGCCAAGTCAAGGGCTCCCGTCCAGGGCTTGTTCAAGAAGCCTTCACTTCCTGCCCTCGGTAAAGCTTCTCTGAATGGAACCTCAAACCGTCGCGTGTCTGTTAACTCTGCCTCTACTGCATCCTGGGATGGCACAATCCCTTCGGCTGGCAGTTCTCACAATACGTCGCTGACAGCCGATTCGGCCGAGCCTGGAACACCACCATCCGCCCGCAAGTCCTCGGCCGCTCTGCGCGAGCAGATTGCCAAGGCCAAGGCTGCGAAAAGGGCACAGATGAAGCAAGCAGCTGAGATCGAAACACACCCAGAAGAAGAAGCACCAATTGTCCCTTCGGATAGTGGCTTCGACTTTGGCGTGAACCATGATGATCCTTTCAATACCCGCAAAGGCGAAGATCCCAAGAAGAAGGTTCTCCAGAATCGCGTCAATGCTGCAAGGACAACTGGAAGACTCAACATTGCGGCTTTGCACCTGAAGGAAATTCCTGTCGAGGTTCTCAAGATGTACGATCTGGAGAGCATTGGTACCTTTGACGGAAGCTGGGCAGAGAGTGTTGACTTGACACGCTTTGTTGCTGCGGACAACGAGTTCGAAGAATTGGACGACTTCATCTTCCCTGACAGTAATCCCTCTTCGTTCGACGAGGCACAGGCTAGTCAAGGAAATATCTTTGCTGGTCTCGAGACCTTGGATATGCATGGCAATCTCCTCGTCAATGTCCCCTTGGGATTTCGACGGTTGACTTGCCTGACCTCTTTGAACTTGGTATGCATTACTCGCATTCCTAATTATCCTCCTTGCTAACATTTTTAGTCAAACAATCGCCTCACGAATAACAGCCTGGACACCCTCTCACAAGTCACCTCTCTACGCGACTTGAAGATTGCAAATAATCTCTTCTATGGCCCCCTCAACCCCGTGCTATCGAGTCTGAATGAGTTAGAAATCCTTGACGTGCATGGTAACAACATCTCTGCACTACCTCCCAAGGTTGAAAACATGTCGCGTCTTCGTATTCTTAACTTGAGCGAAAACAGCTTCGAGTCTCTACCTTTCGATAGCATTGCCACACTTCCCATTACCGAGCTGAACATCAGGAAGAACAAGCTTAAGGGCACTCTGATCGAGGAGCCCATCGGCTGTCTGCCTCAGTTGCACACATTGGACGCTTCTGCAAACCAGCTGCAAAGACTGGTGCCCTTGGGTGCCTCGATCGACCTCCCAGTTCTGCATTCTCTATCTCTCTCGATGAACCGACTTCAAGGACTTCCAGACATGACGACCTGGACAAGTCTTCTGACGCTCTCGGTCGAAGAAAACAACATCTCCGGAATTCCTAACAGTTTCATGGGTCTCGAGAAACTTCGTCATGCTGATTTCTCTAGCAACGACATCAGAGTGATCCCTCCCGAGGTGTCTCGCATGGACAACTTGTCTATGATTCGACTCAGCGGCAACCCTCTTCGTGACAAGAAGTTCCTCTCCATCACCACCGAAGATCTGAAGGAAGTTCTTGCTGGCCGCCTTGAACCGCCACCTCCCTACCAAGAGCCAGCTTCTCAAGTCGGCATCCTAGATGTGCTGGCTGATGTAAAGGGTCCTAACAATACGCAATCGAACCCTGACGCAATGTTTGATGAAAATGACAGGTCAGATGATGATTTCGCTACACCTCCCCAAAGCCCTAATCGTTCCCGATCTCACACTGTATCAAGCCACCGCTCTCGATCGCACACGTTGTCGAACCAGACCTGGCCCGTCAAGCCTGGCGGTATCCTAGATCGATCCCAAACCCAGTCTTCATCTCTCCATCCCGTCGTTTGCTCTAAAGTCGCTGCCGAGCACCGTGTCCGACAAATCTTCCTCCAAAACAACCTTTTTGCTACCCTACCCAACTCGCTTAGCTTTTTTGCCGAAACATTGACTGCCCTGTCTGTGTCTCACAACCAGATGGTTGGCGAGGCGTATCTGACGGAGGAATTGGAACTCCCGGCTTTGAGGGAACTTAACTTGGCATCGAATCACATTACTGGTCTTGGAGCGCTTGTGCAGTTCTTGCATGCACCAAGTCTTGAGAAGATTGACGTGACGATGAACCGCCTCAACGCTCTCCCAACAAATCTGAAGGAGTCTTTTCCCGTTCTGAACGTCTTGCTAGCGAGTAACAACCACATCGTTGATCTCGAACCAGATATGATCAAGGGTCTCAAGATCGTCGACGTCAGCAACAACGACATCGCCCATCTGAATCCCCGTATTGGACTTCTCGGCGGTCCCGGCGGACTCGAGCGTTTTGAGGTCGCAGGCAACCGATTTAGGGTTCCGCGGTGGAACGTGATTGAGCGAGGCACAGATGCCACACTGCGGTGGCTCAGGGGTCGTGTGCCGGTCGCTGATATGGCTTCATGGCAGGGAGATGATGATGAGCCTGAGGTGGATTAATTATGAGCTGTAGACATGGCGCTGATTGATATGCACTTGCTATGGGCTGTTTTTCGCTTCTTGGTACATATTTTGACGTATTCTAATTTTATTACTGGGGACCATATACCATCTTGCTTTCTTGTTAATATAACTCGACCTGATGCCCATCGTGCAAGATTTCCTCGCATCTAGCGGCTCCAAGCCCGAGTGGGAAATTGGTCTTAATTGAAGGGTTCTCGGAGTGGCTCGCAATGTAAAAGCCCCATGATCGTGTGTAATAGTTATCGAGGCCCTCGGGGGGGGGGATTAAACGACCCCAAATGCACCAAAATTCGCTGGCATTCCACCCATTGAGGGGTCGTTTTTTGTTTCCCCCCCTAGCGAGGCAATCCTTTGAGGCAAGTATATTCTTTGGACATGGGCCATCGTAACATAGCGCCGACGGATTTGCTGGAGTCTACTAACTTTGTTGTTAAAAGTTGGCATAAAATCTTGGAAAGTCTTTACTGCAGTAGTTCTCATTTAATAGCCTAAGTTTTAGCTTTTGGGAATTTACCATGGTGTTGCTAGTGATTGGAGAGATGGTCTTCATGTGAAGCAGCCAGGCGAGGATCTCCACAGCGTCTTGTTAACGACGATCAACGCTCGAGGCCATTTTGAGTGGCCGAGCATGCCAAGACACGCCTAACTGCTCTTATATGTATATTTGAGGCTACTTCTCTGATGCTGAAGAGATCTTTGGCGAGCTTCTCAAGAGTAGAGCAATGCATCTGAGGAGAATCCGCAAGCAGCCAACTTACAGGGCTGTGGAACAAGGTAAGGTATGTAGTCTTGACTGTCGGTTCACCTTGACTTTCCTACAATGTTGATGTATGAGAAGACTCTTTCAATTTTGAGTCTATCCAATAGGTACACGTTTAAGGTTAAATAGGAGGGAACGAATCATGAAATCCATCCTCGAGAGCTTATAGGCTCTCAGTTACCGTGAGTCACGCACAGCTAAAAGCATCCGATGCTGAGACCGATAATTCATTTGTTAGTTCGTCTTTTCACCAACACGGGCGTATCAGAGGCCCTCGATTAGAGAGCTTCTTCAACTTTGGAAGGTGCCTGCCTCGTGACCCTCTGTGGCAAGAACCTTGGACGCCGTGAACATGAAGTCTCAATGGACGAGACGTCTCTGTCAGTATCAACACGAACTTTATCACCGAGTATAAAGCACAAAAGTAACCCTCCCTGTGAGGGAGCATTTCATCACTACTCTCAATATCGTGAAACATTCTTCGAGTATCCCTCAATCACGCCGATACACGCGCGCGAGAACTACAAGACCGGACCGAGCACCAGCCCGAGCGACACTTCACGATATCATCACATTACACACCTTACACAACCTGGAACTGCAATCAAGACCTTTCATGTCTTCAAAAATCGGCATTATGCCTCCCATATTACAAACCATCGCCCTCATGGCCCGCGACGTGGCAGATAACAACAACGTTCTGAGGGACAAAGCCCTGGGCCCATCCGCAACCATCAGGCTCGTGGCAGCAATCACAACAAGCGGCTGGATCACCTTCGGCTTGATAATCGGCCTGGTCCTAAACACGCGGGGCAAAGCTAGTAGTTTTGTCCCAGAGTGGTATCTCGACTCCAACGGCTCGGCCTGGGCAAAACTCGCTGTGGTAGCGTGGTGGATCTCTATAATTCTGTTCTGGCCTGTCATCTGCGTGGTGTATATTATCTCGGCTGCTGGAAGAGTTGTTCGGGATTTGTTTTTGAAATGTGGTGGGAAGAGGATGCAAAGGACGGAGACGGAGACTGGTGGAGTTACTGTTGTCTAAGGGTATCACGAACTGTTTGGTGTTTTTGGTGGTAGTAAGGGTTTGGAGTTGGGGAGTGCAGATTGGGATATTCTATATGACAGTCATTTGGATACAAGGTTTGATTCATTCGTTTCAATATCGAGAGATTTCTCCACTCGCTTTCATACTGTACTGTTTCGTTTGCTTCGTTTGTTTCGGCTCGGTTGGTTTGATGTCTCGGGCACTGACAGATAACGCCTGTGGATCGTTTCACAGGCAGCGATCACCAAACTTCACCTGGAACCCCTTCTAGTCTAGTGCCTAAAAACAAGCATCATCCTCCACTGAAAACACACAGGCGCGTGCCCGACGGAAAAACCCTTGTTCCCGGGTCTTTCATCTTCAACCAAGCTAGCTTCTCATTTCTTGGAAGCAACCAAAAACGACGGCGTCACAAGCCGAAGCATTTCTAACTTGTGTCTACCGTTTCCTACTTATATTGTGCTTTTATATCCCCATTGCTCCTGTTCCATTGAAGGTTCTACGATCCATTGTTTTTCCCTCGTCACAATCGCTGTTTACTGTGGATCCATATCGCGGCGCGTTGTGCGTTGCGTTGCGCTGCACGACAACGCATAAAGTTTGATTTGGAAAGGATAATAAACACACGCGCATGCAAAGCACATGTACGCATCGAAGGCACCACTAATATATATCACTCGCTGTCGAAGATCCGGCTTCCTCAGCTGACGGATCGGAACGACGAGAGCTGTTGACGCGACTTGGTTGCCTGGGGAATTATTCAAGAGCAGAACACGATTGCTTCAACATGACTTCTCCTACGGAAGCCACACAGGCTTCGCAGACCTTACAGGGCGATACGATCGTTGTTAGGCATCCTCGCGAGCGACAGAACCCCACGACACCTCAGCCTCAGGAAGCAGGACCTCAAGATCCAGCTGCGGTGACATTACCTTCGACAGAGATTCCAAATTCGCCCATCGATCCAAACGAATCCTTCAGAACCGAGATCAACGAGGATCGGCCGGCCGTCACTGTTATCCCATCGTCACTTACACCGCCCCCTTCGACCCAGGTCAACAGCCATGCCAGTCAAGCTGGTCCCGGTCCCTCCAAACGAAAGTTCTCTGGCTCCCAGCAGTCGTCGACACTCTTCTCCCCGCCAGCCACCGTGCCCAACAACGTACGCGAGCGTCCTGTAACAACGGAATTCCTCCCTCCCGCTCCACACCAGGTCCTGGAAGCGTCCGCCGACGAGCTGCGCGTCATGCTTCAAGCTGCTCTAGCAGAACAGCAAAAGCTCAAGATGGAGACAGCTCATCATAAGTTACAGTATAACTTGTTGTCTATCCAGGCCGACGACGATGCCAAGCGTGCTGCTGTGGAACACGAGATGATGCGTCGCGAGGTGGACGCGCTGCGAAATGCAGAATTCACTCGAATGGCTAGAAAGGAATTTGATCAGCCGTCCGAGGCACTACAAACAAAATACTTACAGATGAAGACGCGGTATGAGGCCATGCTGCAAGAGAATGAGATCCTCCAACGCCGAGTCCAGACGGCGAAGAAAGTCATCAAGCAAAGCGAGGATGAAAGCATTGCTCTTCATGAAGAGCGAGATATGTTGCTGAGACGAATACGCGAGAACAGAGAGCACATGCAGATGCTCTGTAGACCTGGGGGTATATTTCACGCAGTTTTGACACCCAGACAAAAAGTCTCTGCTGTGACACAAGGGCATAGAAACTCTCAACAACAGCAGACATCTAGATCCCAAGGCGAGCATGGTCTCTCGGCTTTGTTGCAGGCTATGAGCCAGGATAACAACAGCGCACCTTCGACACCGATGCATTCTCACCGCCCTGCACCACGCGTCGGGAAACACCACCGCAACTCGCAATCCATGTCGTCTCTGCCCACGACGCCTATGAACCGGCCGGTGGGTACAAACGTTGGGCTTCTTCCATCGGTGGATCTGGTACCTCACTCGGAGCCTCATCGATACTCCCAGAGACAGTTCATTCCTACGACACCTGTGGCCAAGACTGACCGCCGCCGTAGGAGTCGAGAGAGCACTATTTCAGCAGACGATAATGAGGAGCTAGCTAGGCAGGCGCTCGAGTCGGTTGCCGCAGCTCAATCGTTCACATCACAGTCACGGAACCGGAGCGACCAGGACGGAGAGGTGTTTGACAGCCAGGCTAGTCAAGCTGCAGCAGAGATGCTGCGGCGAGATCCGCGGCAGAGCTTTGAGGTGGCTGAAACCCTGAGAAACACACCAGGACCAATGGAGAAGACAGTTCGCATGCAGGAGAGATTCCTTTCCCATCGAAATGGAGACGGCGACAAGCGAAAATTCAGCGGCAACCATTCATCGACCGAGGAGATACGGCTCGATCAAGCAAGTCCAGCGAAGAAGTCCAAGGTGGTCGAACCAGTGGCAGATGGGCAAGACAAGCTAGGACTGGGGATTCAGTATAGACAGTGAAATGTCAGGCCAGAAGCAGATTGCAAATGGAGTTCGGGGTACGATTATACGACGGCATCGGCACAGGGGAAGGCGTTGAAGGCATTGCATTTGGCGAGTTTGTATATATATGTTGGCGTGATCAAAAGAGGGTAGAATGTCACAGCGGGATTTGTGTATCAATGGAAAGATTGTTTAAAGTTTCAACAGTATTGAATCTCAATCAGAATGTGAATGTCTCATGATGAGTGGTGCACAGCCATGGACGCCACACGTAGGGATGTTACCCGACGCTCCGACATTTCAAGCCACACTCGAAACATTACCCGAAGTCTGAAGCCGGTGTCAAGGATCCACTTTCGGCTCATGGCAACGGGACGGGAGTGTTCCGGCTTTCGGCGGGGGTGGAGGGTAATGGGTAATGGGATATTTACTTACCCGGCTCATAAACACTTCTCTCGCTTCTCATCATGAACCTTTGATCTCTTCTTTTCTCTTTCTTCTTATCAATTGGCTCCCCTCTAACCCCATAATCCTCCATATACCCCAAATACCTTCATAATGTCGGCCCGTCTTCACAAAGGCCTTCAAGGCGTCCTCGCCAAATCCCCTTCCGACACCGTAATCCTCTCCGCCGTCCGCACTCCCATCTGCCGCTCCTACAAGGGCCAGCTCAAGGACGCTTACCCCGAGGAGCTCCTCGCCAGCGTCCTCAAGGCCACTCTCAAAGCACACCCCGAGGCCCCCGTCGACGATGTAGCAGTCGGCGTTGTGCTCTCCGAGCTCGGCGGCTCCAAGGCAGCGCGCATGGCTCTCAACCACGTCGGCTTCAAGAACACTACCAGCTTGTACACCGTGAACCGCGCGTGCTCTAGTTCGCTGCAGGCTATCGCTGCTGTGTCGGCGCAGATCCAGACGGGCATGATTGATACAGGTATCGCGGCTGGCATGGAGAGCATGACGAGGAATTACGGAAGCAGAGCTATTCCTGTGGATGCGTGGCCGGAGCTGAAGACCTCGCCTAACCGCCATGCGCAGGATTGTATCATGCCTATGGGTTTGACGTCTGAGAACGTTGCGGAGCGATATGGTGTTTCGAGAGCGGATCAAGATGCTATGGCTGTTGAGTCGCACCGTCGTGCTGCGCGTGCGCGAAAGGAGGGTCGCTTTGCGGAGGAGATTGTGCCTGTTGAGACGAGGTTCCAGGAGGTTGATAAACAGGGTAACAAGGTTGGCGAGGAGAAGCGCATCACTGTCACTGCTGATGATGGTATTCGTGAGGGTGTTAGCATTGAGGCTCTGGCTAAGCTCAAGCCTGCTTTCAAGCCCGACGGTGCTTCAACAGCTGGAAACTCGAGCCAAGTCTCCGACGGTGCTGCCGCCACCCTCCTCATGCGCCGAAGCACAGCCACCGCTCTCGGTCTTCAAGACCGCATCATCGGAAAATTCGTCTCAGCCGTGACAGTCGGTTGCGACCCCGATGAGATGGGTATCGGCCCTGCCCTCGCTATCCCCAAGCTCTTAGACCAAGCCGGTCTTAAGACAGATGATGTGTCACGATGGGAGATCAACGAGGCGTTTGCAAGCCAAGCACTACACTGTGTGAGGGAGCTGGGACTTGAGGATGCGTGGGCGAAAGAGAAGGTTAACCCTGACGGAGGAGCTATTGCGCTGGGACATCCTCTTGGAGCTACCGGAGCGAGAATGACGAGTACGCTTTTGCATGGACTTAAGAGGGATGGTGGCGAGGTTGGTGTTGTGAGTATGTGTGTTGGTACGGGTATGGGTATGGCTGGGCTGTTTGTTCGGGAGTAGATTGATATCCGGGAAGAAAGATAAAAAGTAGATTGGGGAGTAAACAAAATTGAACATTGTGTTATACTACGCTTGATATCCTGCGAACGGGAATGCTGATGACTGTTGAAACATGGAGAGGAAACTAAAGTGGTGATATCCGTCGGCAGCTTGTAGTGTGGGGATGCAAGGGTCCGATACCTCGTTCCCATAAAACAGCCAGGTTCGGTTGGCAATCGTCTCAATTGCTGGTGATTCAATGGTCAAATGTGGGAAAAAAGAATGTGTTGCCGTTAAGCGGGTTCATATAATAGCCATGCTAGCCATGGTATGGTTGAGTCCTGATGTGCCAATGGCGATTCACTCGTGATTGGTTGACGACAAGGGCAATCTGCACATGTATGCATTGTCAGTTCATCGTATGACAATCACAAGTACCAACATTTCTTCACCAGAACCAACACTCGTCATGGCTTCTTCAGCTTCAGGGTAGTGCACATGGCGCTTATTTGGAAAAGGGGGTTTCCGGAACGCCGGTCATTAAGCTAGCCATACCAACGTTATCAATCATTGACTAGACTAACGATGTTTGAATACTAGACCCAACAGTCGGCGTTGTGTAGCTCTGGATATAATCTAAGACACTTGTCCACGCCTGGGCTTGGTTGGTCAATGGTCTGTTGCAGGGTATGAATGTGGCTTGCGTCGAAAGGCTGACTGCAGGCATTTCAGGGAGACACAAAGAATGCTTGCTTTGGCTGTTGGGTTGGGCTGGGTTGGATTATATGTATTCTAATAAAAAATATTTTCGCCCCTTGCTTGTCTTCCCAATTAACCCATCAATCACTCTAGTCATCTAAACGTAGAGACAAGTGAACCAATTAATCATGCCTGCCCCCCCATACGCCAAATAATAATAACAATGATGATACAATTCATGTTTATACGACTTCAATGTCGATAACATTTGACTTGAATGGCCCTGTTAGGGTCTCGTTTGCTGGTGTACCCTCCTCGAAGGATGTGTAGTCAACATTCTTCTTCTCCTTTGTCCACACAGCATTCCACGTCCCCTTGAGCTGCACCGTCGCGCCCTCAAACACCTTGTCCATCGGGACAACAGGTTCCTGGAGGGTGAATTCCCAAATGGCTGATCGGCCAGGGAGAATCTCAATTAGAGCATCATCAGCAGGCGGCCAGAGTCGTGATGCTTCAATCTGCATGATGTCAAGTGGTTTGCTGTCGCCCTTTGGCGTGATGTAGAGAATGCCAAGAGAAATACCCAAGGGGTCCAGGGGTGAGCCGTAGCTGAGGATAGTGACGGGCTCGTCATTGTTGTTCCTGACGGTTGCGCGGATGAGAACAGGATCTTTCTCCTCCTGGGAAATGGAGACGTCGAGCTTTTTTAGTGCAGCTGGCATCCTGAATGATAGTGCGACGTCTGGTACGTAGCCTGTTGGTGTGAAGAAGGCGATGAAGGTGAGTGCGACTGTGAGGCCGATGAGTAGGCGTACAGCTGAAGACGCGAAGATGGCCATGGCATGAGCTCGGTTTTTGAACGGAACCCGCAAGGCAACAATGAGAGAAATGAAATGAGCGAGTTGATGTCAAAGGAACAAGGGATTGTTTCAGTCCCTGTATCACGTAGATAATGGCATAAAGGAGAGTGAGTGTGAGTGTGCGTGTGAGCGTGAGGATGAATGAAGATTTGATCCCCCAAGAGAATGAAATGAGCGTGCAGAGGAGCTGAGTACAGTGCGTCCCATTAAAACAACTTAAGATAATAATTAACCTTACGCATGAGCTAAAAGGTACGCGACTGCTCCCCTAACTAACGCAGAATCCAGGGGCTGCCGGTATCTCACGTGCACTTATTTGCATTGCATTCTTTGTGCTGTGCCGCTTATCCTCCCTTATAAAGGTGGCGCGAAGAATCTGTCATTGCGTGGCTAGGACTTAGTCCAGGGTCTACTCTGAGCTATTGAACGCCGCTATGGAGACTTTTACTCTTTAATGCTATTTAGCAGATTCCATCAGTCGCTAGCTCTTGTTCGCTTGGCGCGGGTTGTGGGCGGCGTACCGAGTTTGATTGAGTGCCGCAATCCTCCGGGTCTAGCGAAAAAGTTTGAGCGCAGAATCCGTAAGCGACGTTTTGGAATCTCAATTCAATAACAAGAAACGGTCGCGTGGCCCAATGGCAAGGCGTCTGACTACGAATCAGAAGATTCTGGGTTCGATCCCCAGCGTGATCATTCTTTTTGCCAATTGAGCTTCTTTCATGATGTCCTTTTGCTGGCAAGCCAAATGGTACCGCTCACTGTCGTTTAGATGCCCGTCTTACCCGCTACGGTGCTCCCTTCAGTACCAGGGATAGGGTGATTGACCTGAGTATTATGCCACGGCAATCATCGCAAAGGTTTTCACACGCACACTAGAACCTGTAATTGTTGTTATAATGTGAGTGCTGTATAACTTGAACAGCCATATATGCGATAGAACTTGGCAATACTTGGGCTGTGGCGTAATTCATTGCGACTATTGTTGTTAACAGACTGGTCTAGGGTACGCGGTGACATTGCAAGATGCTACCAGATCAACATCTGGAAACAAGGGACAGTTTTGATAGCTTTTCCAGTGGATTAATGCTACATCTCTGCAAAAGTCTAATATGAAGCTAGTTCTTGCTTGTCAAATGCCTCGTTCTCGTTAGTCTTACTACCATAAACTGAGGCCCTCAACTAGTCCTGGCATCTGAATATCTCGACAAACGCGGCGAACCAAACAACCAAGACTCACATGCAAGTGTCCACCACCCTCTAGATTATTCAAGAACACATTACCAATGAAAAACTTCACTAATAGTGCGCAAGTCATGTTCTCAAACTGGTCCAAGCAAGCTTGTTTGACTTATATTTGGCACCTGCTCTAAAAGTTATCGAGTCAATGCTCCATGCTGATCTTTGTACGTTATATCGAGCATCATGGGTCTATTAGACCGGAAATGAATCGATCATCCTTGCAAGTCTTGTCATATATGAGAATGGAAATGATCGGAGGCTGCTGTATAAGCTTAAGTGGTAGCGTGGAGGGGCTTGTTCAGACGTTGGAAGACCTGCAGGATAGTGGAAAGCCAAGACGTCTCGAGATTCTTGACCATCGAATCTATCAGTTTACCCAAGATCTTCCGATACCGTATTTTCGGCCGTTGGTGATCATAGCTGTTGACGAAACAATTATTACCATCTCAAAATCACATGCCGTCAGCAATCTGATACACATTTATGCCCAGTTCCTCTACTCAAATCCGTAAACAATACCTCTATCCAATAATCTCAACTCATAACGCTATAGAAACAGCCCGTCAGACAACAAACCACAATCTCCTTCCTCAACGACCCAAAGGCGTCTCAAGTCAAACGGGGAGCGACCTTGTTTTAATATATTCACAAACAACCCTTCCAATCTCGTAACCTTGATTTACGACGATCTCTTATAGCCTTGACCGATCCTATTGTGGGGCATTCTCATCCTAGCTGACGATGCTACATGATGTGTTTCGAAAGGGCATGACGCCCGGACCTGGCCTTGATCCTTTTTTAATCTTGGGAGATCTTCGATTTTGTTACATCGGACAGAGTCAATTGCGGAAGTTAAGGTTAATTGCGTAAATAGGAAGATAAACTCAAAAGGCGAAAATAGCATAAACATACGGCGATGCTAGAGGATGGGTGACGCTGGGGAGTCAGTTTTCGGACAATTAATTCGAGAATCGCCGATTGAAGAGCGGAAATGGCACGTGTCAAACATATTGACATGTCCGAAATGAAACCCTGGATCGGTCCACACCAAGACGGATCAATATCGTCGCAAGTCCCCTGCTCCCGAGTCCAGACGAGTCGCAGGGTATCAACTCGACTTTCGTATAAGTATTCACGATACCTCGAGTCCCTCAGCATGTCTTCATCCTATTCACAACAGTCATTCCTTTCATTCATTCATTCGTTCTTTTTCATTCTCTTCGCTCTTTTTAAACCACATTCGTTCGATCTGGTCTATCGTTCAAAATGAAGCTGCTTGCTGGTCTTGCTCTCGCCTCCATGGCTGTCGCTGCGCCCCTAGTGGATAAGCGCGCCCCTACTCCCTTGAACGTTGAATTGAAGATGCAGGGGAACTCAAAGGTCAAGGCTGTTATCACCAATAATGGGAAGAGCAACTTGAAGCTCCTCAAGGTTGGAACATTCCTTGATACGGCTCCCGTTGAGAGGGCTCAGGTCTTTTCTGCTGGTAAGACTCCCCGAGATGAGGCATGAATGAGATGTTGGATGGAGTGAGCGTGTAGACTGTCTTGGTGTTGAGAGTTGAATGAGCTCATAGAACTCAATCTTCAACAGCACAGCAAGGAGACATTATGACACCTCCTCGACACTACCCTCACCTCAGTCACTACCCCCATAGCCACTTACTTCATAGCCACTTACTTACTAACCGCCAACAGAGAAAAAGACTGTCCCCTTTGACGGTGTTCGCATCGCCCTCGACACCACCCAGCTGGATGAGACCGCCTTCCAGAACATCCCCTCCGGCAACTCCTACGAAGTCGAGTTCGACATCGCCGAGTTCCACGATCTTTCCGCCGGCGGCAAGTTCAGCGTTCTCTCATCCGGCGCCCTCTCCTTCGCCCAGGAGAACTCCACCGAGTTGATCGGTTCAGTCCCCTTCTACTCCAACCGTCTCGACGCCGAAGTCGACGGTCCCCAGGCCTTCTCCGTCCGCACCGCTTTCCACCAGAAGCGCGCTCAAGTCCAGAGTGACTGCTCTGGCAGCAAGCTCCAGGTCACCCAAGCTGCTCTGTCGAACTGTGCTAGACAGGCTTCAGCTGCTCAGGAGGCTGCGTCTAACGGGCCAGGTGCAAAGGTGGAGGAGTACTTTAAGAACTCTGATGCTGCGACTCGCTCGACTGTCGCTGATGTCTTTGCCAAGATCGCTGCTGAGTGTGGATCGACCAACGCTGGAGATACTCGATACTACTGTACCGATGTTTACGGCGCGTGCCAGAACGGTGTTCTTGCGTACACTGTTCCCGGCGGAAACTACATGGCCTATTGCGATCTCTACTTTGAGCGTCTTCCTGCCACTACTTCAACTTGCCATGGTCAGGATCAGGGCAACACCAACTTGCACGAGATGACCCATCTTAACCAGATCAAGGGAACCTCTGACTATGGTGGTTACGGATATAACTTCATCCAGAGCTTGACTGCTGAGCAGAACATCAACCACGCTGATACTTATGCCTTATTCGCCAACGCTGTTAGTCTGGGATGTTAGAAGGTTGATGGGACAAGTAGCACATAAGTCCTACGGAAGAGTTTGTTTGAGGGTCTGGAGGATTTCGGATCATGTAGGGCACATATTAAAGGACGGCGTTCTGAAGGCGGCTTTTGTACAGGCAATCCACTAAAGTAAGCGAGTTAAAGCTGAATGCAAATGCCTGTATGAGAAAGGGCCGTTTGATGATACTCGCTTGGGAGACTAGACACTTATGTCATAACATAGGTTTTAAGACGACACGAAACAGTCTGATGCGATTATAGACTGTCTAAGTGTGCCACTTGACAAGTCACCACTAGGTGATGTGTGCTGAGAAAGAAGTCAAGCATGTCCTCTTTGACACTTGACACCAACTCGGCTGTGAAAGGAAACCTTGCTGAGAGACAAAGATTAAGTACTCAGACAGCCTAAAGACCAGCCATAGAAGTCTGCAAACGTCTGAGCAGGCTGGAAAGTGCCAGAGTCTCGAAGATACGTGGATTCAATTCATTAAGATATAGACAAAACAAACAAAGAACAGGCAGTGACTAATGAGGCCAACATCACTAAGACGATAGCACGCTTATGTCCTTGGACAGAATATCACAACGGGTCCAGAAGCTTGCACCATCCATCATAGAAGCGCTTGAACTTCCAGGGGCTGTACTCCTAAAGTGTACTGTGATCCTTCTCAAGAAAGCCGAAGCCGAAGCCGAACTGGAAAAACTCCGCGGTCATGGCTCCCTTCCAACTTGGACTTGTCACCAGTCGCTTTCTCTCAAGTTTCTGCTCTGCAACTCGGCCTGGCCCAGAATTTGTTTTTCAAGTGGCTTCAAGTCAGCAATCTCAGACAGCACCATCATCAAAGACCAGACGTGGTCGGACCAGAGAGGCTTTCCTGCTTGGGCGAGGTTCGGAAACAGGTACTATGGGGTTCAAGAGCTAGCGATCGCTTGGGTTGCAGTTCGAGCGTGCCGCGTTGCTGCAAAGCCCTTTGAAGTGTTCCATCATTACTGGCGTTTCGTACGAACGCCAACCTCTCCCTTATTAGTTGTGTTGGTCCTGGTATCAACCGAAAATTAACGTCGCGGATCTGGAAGAGCCACTAGATAAGGATCGTGGTACAAGTCAGGCTTGAGAAGCACGACACATTGCCGAAGGCCCTCCAATATTATGGGAAAGCCAAGCTTCTCCTCCCTTATCTCTCCATCCCCGCCTTCGTCTTCATGGTCGTCGTTGACATCGCTATGATCTCGTCTACCGAAGCTGACGAGATACGGTGGGCTCTTGGACTCTTGGACCAATCCAATCCACAGGCATGGACTCTTTGGGTCTCTAGGGTCCTGGCATGTTCGGTTGCTATTTTCAGGATGTCGAATGATGTCTAAAGCGTAGGGGTTCTCCGAGAGGAGATAGAAAACCGTCTGATCAATATCCATGTTCGAAATGCTTGATGGATGAGAAGATGAAGCTGGAACGAGCAGCTCAGGCGGTCAAGATTTATGTAGATTGCAAGCCACAGAGAGGAATACAGAGCCTACGACTGGAGAACAACTTTCTAGAAACATGTTTTGTTCCACATTCTTCACTGTCCCAATTGGACTTATCACCTATTAATAAACTTCCTTTATTCCATATCAGTCACCACTTTGCCTTAGATGATACCTACCAATATCCTTTGTTCCATCTTTCACCGTCTTTGCTCTGCCATTCACCTCCCTCAAATTAATCGCAGCAACATCCTTTGTTCCATTCTTTATTAACCTCCCTAACTTACCGCCTGCTAATATCCTTTGTTCCACCCTTTGCCATTCCCCTTCAGAAGTCGTCTATTAATATTCTTCATCCCTTCCTTCACCATCCCGTCGACCTAACGCCAGCAACACATCCTTCACTATTCTTTAATACTAACCAGCCATTTCCGCGTCTGTTAGCATTTAGATGGCTCCGCATACAAGCCCCAAGCGCAGACTCAACAATATGTCAACACTTTCTCCATCCGTTGAGGCCGCCTCTGACGACGTGTATCCTCTATCCAACAGCAACAACCTCGACGACAATGTCCACCCGGCTGACAATCCGGCAAACGAAGAGAGAGATACATACTCTGTATTAGTACTGGGCACAAGTATGTTGGTGCCACGAACTTATGACCCTGATACATACGATTTTGATGCACGAATGCCGTGGACGCCTGAACCAGAACCCTATGATCCTGAAACCTATTCAGCTTGGGGCAGAAAGCACTTCGGCGAAGAGTGGTACCAATTGCGGAAAGTTATGCTCGAGGAAAGGAATCCCCATGATAGGCGTGATCCAGTGTACGGGGCGCGTCAGCGAGCTCTGAGGGTGATGGAGCATCAGGCTGAAGGGCGACCTTTTAAACCAGCCTCTGGAACCTTACACGTTGATGAAAGCGATGAAGGCTGGAAGCGCTTGTGGGCTCGAATGTCCAACAACGAGTTAGGCCTTCCGCGCAGTCCCTCCCCACCTCCGGCACCTCCGACACCTTCAGCACCTCCAACACCTCCGACACCTTCGTCACCAAGCGACAGCTCTGAGTCTCGCGAACCAACGCCTATCCCGACAAACCAATGGGAATATGTAGAGTACATGCGAACGCATGATGACTTGACTGAGGAGGATTATCACTTCCATAGGTTCTTTGTAAGGGAGGAGATCATAGACAGGGCTAGGTCGCGACGTGAAAATGAGCCGGGTAACAGGCAAGCCCGCGAGAAACGCGAGCTAATGGAAAGCTTTCGCCAGTGGGATCTTGATCGGTTCCATCTTGAAGAAGACAACATCCGGGACCATATCAACCTCCCCAAGAAGGGCTGGACGCAGGAAGAGATTGTTGCTGTGTATGAAGCGGACGTGGCCTTCCTTGAATGGTCACGGGGTAATCATGTACCAAGAGAATTTGGTTATTTCAGCAAGGATGTATCCCCGGAAGAAGAAGCCGCTTCGGCGAGCTATTCCCAGCAGGACGCCTGGAATTGCTTCTACGGATCGCAGCCTCCCAAATTGCCACCTGACACTCATTTGGGTGTATGGAATTTGGGTGTATGGGATCTCTGGCGCAAAGGTACCTACGGTCGCATCTCCCGCCGGCGACGGCGAGAGGCCCTGCTTTCTGATGCTAAGGGCGATGCTGCATCATGTGCAGAAGAGTTGGAAAGAATTGAGGGCGAAGAACAGAGAGACCGTGAGGCTCTAGAAAGGGCCAGTAAAAGGTCAACAGAATTGACACAAAAGGCAGATAGAACTACCCATCTACTGTCACCTCAAGATCGGGCGGAATGGACACGTAGGCGCTGCATGTCGAATCTTACCGGTTTCGGTCTCATTCCCACCTACCTCGCTCACAAGTACGGTTCCTTCCCAAGAGTCAAAGGAGCAGAATTACCGCCGCAGCCGCCAGCAACAGTCCCCAAAGCAGGCGGGACAGGCGATGCTCCAGGTGCTCACACGCGGGAAGCAGTGGCGCAGTCGTCAGCAACGACACCTCAACCAGCGAGAGGCACTCTAGGGGGTGAGGAAATACAGCGGACGGGCTTTGGTGGGAGATCAGCGCTTTTTGGTGTAAGCCCTTGCGCTGCTCTTTCTCACCCCGAGGGCACTCTTCGCAAAACTTGCGGCGGTCGGATCACTAAGAACTCGACGCAAGCGGAAGCCTCGACACGAACAGCATCCCAACGCCACAACAGGCAGCGCAAGACGTATAAGAAGGAGCGGGCAAGCCGAAGGCTCGCGAAGCTGGAGCCTGAGTACGGGATGCTAGACAATGCTAGAAGGAAGTGAAACACGACTTGCGATCAGCAAGGCTGTGGACGAAGATGCGTTGATTAGGTAGGTAGGTACTTTATGCACTTCATCGAGCTCGGTCTCGAGCTTAGTGGCCGCTATTGTTCGCACATAATGTTAGCTTAGATGAAAACACCAACGTGCTTTTGGTACTTCTCTGTTCTTCCTCCAGAACGTGATTGCATGACAATGCTTAGACCCTATGTTCTCCGATCGTCAAGCATCACACCTCAGTCACCAGGTCCCGTGATGTAAGCTCGCGTCAAGATATCGTTCGCAGTGGCCCTCAAAACGCTAGTGTAAGCCGTGGGAAAAATTGACGTTGACGCAGCTCGAGCGGTCGTAGGCCAACGCGTCCAGCCTACCAACATCCCGACAGTCCTACGCCCAAGTCATAACTTCTCGTCTTTCATGTTACTGCCTCTCGTTTGCCCAATAACTCTGAGGATAAAACCCGGGTTGCTTTCGTTACGTCCAGTCCTCGCGCCTTGCAAGTAACCGTAACTGTCTTCTGGAGTACTGTACCCTGGAGACTTCTAGGGTACATACATGCTGATTGCGGAGCGGAGCCAAAGCAACCAGAGAAGCAGGTTGAAGGACCCTCCACCGGCCGTGAAATCTTTAGCTGTTTGCCGCTTCTCATTGTTGGACATGGAGCCATCGATGTTCGCAGCTTCATGAATTGCTGAGACGTCGTCAGATATCCCCTGGCAGTCTGTTACACCAAGCGCACAGGCAGTTCGAGCGTAGACATTGTAGTGAAGTAGAGACCGAGGTAGGAACTCAAGCGGTTGGTTACCCATGACTCTAGAGTGTGTTGGAAAATTACCTAGGTAAGTTAATGGAGCGTTGCCAAACTTAAGGCCTCTGCTTGATTTGTCACGTGAGCCTACCTTACCTGCAATGCTTCCATTGGTAGGTAGTCAGGTACCTTAGTCTGACGGTCCCATCTCATTCAACTACCGCGGGAGCCTAGATCAAAACTGATCTTATGGAGGTCGAGAAGGCTGATCAGGTACCAGGCAGTGATTGCCCAATGCAATCGGATCCTGCCGAGTCTCAGTGATCGCCTGGAGATCTCGAGTTTCAATGCCCAACGTCTCTTGGTTAGAATTTGAAAGACACGATTGGCTCGGAGATTGCGTTGCTCGTGTGGGTCGAGCCAAGGCTTGTGTCTTGGTTTCGCGACGTCATCGTACAGGAGAATCTCCCCGCGACTTGAGGTACTTGGTTGCACGACAGCTTCAGTCCAGGATAAGTCTTGAGTGGACTACCCAAGCTGACACGTCCCCGTAGCAAGTTTGTTATTTCCCAAAAGAAATTCGGTAAGAATTTGCTATTCCGATGGGCAAGTTGCACAGACCCCGATGCTGCAGCTACCCATTGGAAATTCCATCTGCTGGTGAGTGTGAGCTTTTCAGGTCCTGGGCCAAGAGACCCAAATGTAACGCAGCAGAGCCCGAGCGGCGAGCTTTAGGCTACTGTGAAATGATCAAAGAAAACACGGCTTGTGCCGTTGGTCTCGGTAAAGACGAGAATGAGAACGAGAGCCCGCCCTTTGAGGCTCTCCACCCTCCATCGTTTAAGTTCCCCTTCAGGGGAAGACCCTGCAGGTTTGAGAAACTTTGTTCCCTGTAGGCTTCTTGTTCGTCTTTGTTAACGTCAAGATGGAGAAGGGTAGGTTAACCTGATAAAGATGCCATTTTTAGAAGTGCACCCACGGATCGGCCCATGTTGGATGATCATTTAAAACACCAAGACTTGACATACATGCATTGTTTGTGTTTCCTCGTCGTATATGGGAATTCTGTTATGGTTTTACGGATTCGACCAGTTATCGAGGATTATCTGACTGGTAACAATATTCCCACAGCCTCAACTAATCCCAGTCCCTGCATTTCATGTGCCATAATCCGGCTTTTGGCTATGCCGGCCCACTTGGTTTGTGCTTGGGCGTCGAGACCGCTATCAAAGCGAATGGGCTTAAGTTACAGTAGTGGTTCTTTGTGTGAGCTTGTGTTTGTGTACATTTACGCACGTAAAATTTCCCTCCAATCTTGTGTATTGGTTCTTCGAGGTCTTCAAGGACCCTTGATGGTTTGTCTGATGTATATCAGGTGTTGTGCTGTCTCACTGCTCAACTCGGTCTCATCACAAGTCGTCATCAGCTGGACAGTACATGTAAAGGTCCTGGGCTCCCCCTCATGCAATTGTACCGCTCAGCCCCCTGTAACTGTCGCTAGACAGAGTCACAAGCCACTGAGAGTAGAGGGATCCACTTGGACAGTTCGGCCCTGGAATGTCTCGACAAGCGGGGTCTTGGATCAGTCTGTCAACGTCATCGGCCTCTTCTCACCCTCCATCATGCATCCTCTCCATCTTGGTCGTCCAATCCCAGCTGAATACTCTTACCACTAATCCTTGGTCTTCTTCCCTCCCCCTCGACTCATCAAGTATCCCGCCCACCCTCCACCCTCCCGTACATCATCTCTTTCTCTTTCTCTCCTCCATCCTTCTTCCATCATCGTTTTTGCACCTTTAACTTGCACTTGATACCCTTTCACTAAAAGGCGATCAGCTATACCACTAACACCAGAGGACTAGCCTCTATACGTTTCGGTCTGCTTTAGCAGCCATAATCACACAACACCACACTACACACAGTTATAATGGCTGAGCGCTGGGACCGCGATCGCTTTGAGCGAATGCGCGGCGAACAAAACAGAGATCGCTTCGATGACGATCGCTCTTATACACGCAGCACACGAGGCCGCGACCACTCAGATGAGCGATATGACCGCCGACCTGGTCGCGGTTACTACGAAGAAGAAGACATCCGTGACCGTCGCTACTACGGCGATGATTCTCGCTACCAACCTCAGCGAGAAAGAGAGCGAGATATGCCACCTCCCTGGGCTCGTCGTGCGGATGTTCTAGAGAGAGAGCGAGAGCGAGACTTGCCTCGCCGCGAATCTCCACCTCGTCGACCGGGTTTCCTCCGCCGACAATCATCTCTGGACACCTTTGACCGCCGACCGCGCTTCTTCCAGGACCGTGAGGAATATCCCCCTCCGGCTCGCCGTGAGGATATCCGTCCTCGAGATCACCGAGATCCTCGAGATGACTACCGTGCGCCTCCTTATACACCTATTCCCCTTCCCAAGAGCCGAGGACTGCCCCCACCTCGCAGATACGGCGACGAGTTCTATGATGACATCAAGATTGCCGAGCCTGACTATTATGGCGACGATGATTTCAGATCCATGCCTGAGCGTGTTCGTGAGCGAGAATACACTCGATCTCGTAACCGTCGTGGGCGTAGCCGAGAATCTCGGTCAACTCGAACCCGCTCTGTTCGAAGTAGTTCGTATTCTTCTTCTTCAAGCCGCTCCTCCAGCAGCAGCGGTGGCACTACAGTGAAGAGCGAGTATCCTAAAAAGGGCAAGACTCGCATTCCTGCTAAGCTTGTCTCCAAACGAGCTCTCATTGATCTCGGATACCCATTTTTTGAAGAGGTTTGTGGCCAATCTGAGAATGTGAATCATAGTCTCTAACAAGATTTAGGGCAACACAATCATTGTGCAAAAGGCTCTCGGTCAAGATAACATCGACGAGCTCCTCAAAGTTAGCGAGGATTATAAGAAGGGTTAGTTGACAATCTACAAAGTTGATGCGCTACTAACACTCCGTAGTTGAAGCTGAAATTGCCGCCTCTCGAGAACCAAAGGCACCTACTGCTGCTTTGCCTGCACCTCCACCCAAGGAAAAGGTCAGAGAGCCAACTCCGGAACCACCGCCAGCCAAGACTCCCCCGCCTCCCGCTCCCCCAGTTCAAGCTCCTCCTGCCCAGGCACCTCCCGCTGCGGTTCCAGTCGCAACTCCAGGTCCTCCTCCACCCGTTCAAATGATGCCTCCTCCTCAACAAACCCCGATGCCACCTCCGCCTGTCCAGATGATGCCTCCTCCTATGGCTCAGCCTGGACCACCTCCAGGTTTCTACCAGCCTGGCCCTCCTCCCCCGCCACAAGGACCCTTCGAATACGCTGAGGAGACTGTCATCCGCGATGTTTCGCCATCACGATTCACCACAACCACCACATCCTCCAGCTGGGACTCATACCACCATCACCACCACCCCGCCGAGGAACTCGTCGTACGAACTCGCTCTCGATCCCGAAGTGGTCGCGAGATCCGAAAGGAGATCAAAGCTCTGGAACGTGAGCTGGCTCACCGTCCTCGAGGTCGTTCCACCAGCGGCGAAATTGTCCGCGCCGAGCGCTTGCCTGACGGACAGCTTGTTATTCGAGAAGAGAGATTGGAGAAGGTGGTTGAACACCGCAAACCTCCTCGTATTGAGAAGGACAAGAAAGGTAGGATGTCCATTAGCGTACCTAAGTACCGTTAAAGGTGCGCCTTTTATGTTACTCGCATCTTTTGAGAACGTGTGGCTGACTTGGCTGCACAGGACCACCTCCTAAGCTCATGCGGGCCATGTTTGCTACTCTGACTTGAACGACATGTCATTGATTACCAAGGCGGATGAATTGAACGAAAACGATACGGCCTTGATGGCTTATGAGGGCAACCGAATATTTTCACAGGATATATCGCAAGACTGGGATACATATGAAATGAGGTGTATATTCTGGGATATTTATGTTTCAAGGATCTAGACAAGTTTGGGATTGGAGTATTTATTGGAAAACCTATAACATTAACGAATCATGACATTTATTTTAATTCTATACTCTATTCTGGTAATCTTGTTCGGTGTTTTCCATCGCAAAATGCTGCGTTTGTGAAGTGATTCACAAACTCTCTTTCGTCTTGACCACGAGCCCCAACGTCTCTTGAGCATCAGAGGTAGTAAACGGGTTTAGGACGGTAACTGGATAAGGTGATCCAGATTAGCGCAAGGGTTATTGCATGATCTGCAGAGCCAGCAAGGAACGGTTGAGCCGCAGTTTAAAAAGGCGAGCACAAGACCAGCCACAGAAGGTCACAAAGCTTTGAGGGGCATCGCATTAATTTTGACTCATTAAACTAGGACTGAAAAGCGAAAGACAGTTTCCGTTGTATCCCAACACCAACCAGGTCCTCAGCACCATGCATCAGGGTATCGTGTACATCCATCGCCAAGCAAACCTCACAAGAGTGTATCATCTAAGCATTTACTGAGTCTTCTTGTTTGCAACAGCTCGTCCCTGCGCAGTGTACCTCACGTACGCGAAAGCACCAAGGGCGCCGATAGCGAGGATAGCAGCGTTGCCTATGTTATCGTCAGCACGCGAAAGATGATGTGAATATGGAGGAGGAGGAACTCACTGGCTACAAACTTGCCCACGCCACCGGTGACCTCAACGAGGCCGGAGACAACATCGCCGATGAGGTTGAAGAAACCCTGGACGAAGGCCAGGATTGCGGTGAGAATGGAGTGGATGACGGAGTAGATGGTGTTGAAGACGGAGGCGAGAAGCTCGTAGATGGAGCTGAAGAGGTCGCTGATAGCACTTGTGATGGCCATTTTGTGTGCTGATCGCGTTGTTATTGTTAAAGTGTAATTAGCAAGGTGAGTGTTTCGTTGAGAAAAGGCTCTTTGAGAAAGAGAGCTCTTGGCCGCCTTTTTAATGCTTTGCCTCGTTTACTTTCTTGTTCCTGGATTTAAGAGTAAGTCGTGACGTCGTCATGCTCTCGATTTCGCGATGTGCATGTGACGTCACCCAGCCACGAGACGAGGTTAAAGTGTGCTTTGTGAAACATTGCGTCTTAATGAGGTAAGAAGTGTTTTGCATCAGGTCAGCCTTGTGGAAAACAGGGTAATGTGAGCTAATGGCCGTTGAGAACATGTCAATCTTAATTGATCTGTTGCTTGGCCCTTTTGGTGGGCGCTTCTTTGGGAATAGGGAGACGTCAGAGAGTGCTTATTTTGGGAGATCGTCGATCTGGGCTTGGGGGTTGTAGGTTGGGATGGGGAGGGGGATAGGAAGGTTAGCGGACGGATTGAGAATGTTCTAGATTGATGGACTTGGTTGTCTTCTACCAGGAGTACCTAGGGCTTATCGTTGTTTGGTACAGGACATGGTGGTACACCGTCCATCTGCTGTATTGTACGGAGTACTCCCTGATCAATTAAACTTAAACCTCCGATGGTCGATGCCGCATTTGTGGGACCCTGCCGAACTCGTGTGGGTCCAGCACCGGAGACACAAATTGGGTGAGAGACGGCTTCGGTGCCAATATTACATTCACTATTACCCTTCTCACCAGGCACTCAAGAACCCCGTATGAAGCTCATCACATAAAACTCATTGATAGCAAACATGTAACTGTAATGAGACCCTTGCTGACTAGTCACATCACCTCATCTCGGTCCTCACAGACCAGTGTTTGAGGTTCATCACAAGCTGCAGACCGAGTCTCATCTTGTCTTATACCAGGCTTCCCGGCGATTACCACAATCAACATCTAACTGCCGATTGACCGGGTCCGTGTGGGTACCCATCCCATTCCACCTGGTTGAGCATGGGTTATCAGATCCATAAGGTTTTATCGATGTAACCAAAATGATCCTGCAGGATCTGAAATGCCACTTTCATTTCAGATATACACCCATAAGGTGACTCAAAATCTGCAAGCGAGTTCATACATCAAGGGTTTGACGTGACAGCTGCCGGCATGGCATGGCTGTGCGCTCGGTACCGAGCCCGAGCCCGAAGCCTTCTATTTGACAATTGCCTTCTTTTAATAGTTGGCCTTCCTACACAGGTTCAAGTCCCTGACTTGAGACCGTGCCGTGCGGCTCTTTTAACAGAACATCTAGGAACGTTCGTTGGTCTGAAAGGATGTCGGAGTCAAGGTATCACGAAGTCCTCGAAGTTTACTCAGACAGCGCAGCTCATGCACCAGAGGTCAGTCCTCATGGTGTTTATAGCCAAGGCTCGAAGGACCCAATATCGGGCTATGTTCAGGTCGTCGAGGCGCGAAAGGGTCCTTTTGGTTTAAGCATGTTGAGCCTATGTGCGATTGTTGCTATCGTCACTGCAGTGGTTGTCGGGGTTGGTGTTGGAGGAGGCCTTGGATCAGCTCTAGCCAACTGTAAAAAGTACGAGACCCAGACTTACCAACAAATCCACAAATGCTAACAATCACAGTTCACAGTTGTCTGAGGCACCAGCTGCATCTACGATACAAACCTCCGCCTGTCCAACCCTCACAACCAGCGCGAGCGACACCAGCGAAACGACTGAGTCAAAGTTCTACGAGCCCAAACCAGCAGACCAAGTAACGAACCTCACCCTTCCAGACGCATGCTCCCAACCAAACGGCAAAGACGACTATACCACCAACACCGGCTACGTATTCACATACACCTGCGGGTTCGACTACCCAGGGAACGATATAGTGCCTATACTGGCTTACACAGCATTCGACTGTATGCACGCCTGCGCAATGTACACAGAGATCAACAGCGGGAAGGGAAATGCGACGCAGTGTGATGGTATCGTGTTCAATAGGGAGATGGCGAAGAATTATGAAGTCAAGGGCGGAAATTGTTGGTTGAAGACTGGGACGCGGGATCTTTTTCCGGCGGCGGATTTGATGCCGACGTTTTTGTATGCGAAGAGGAATTCATGACGTTGATTTGATGGGGGAGTATGATGATAGATGACTAATTGATCATACTACTTTAATGCTCGTCTTTTGTTCTCTTTTGGGTGTTGTCTTTGTGATTGAGGCTGCGGGTTGGACTCGTGAGAGTGTCAGCGTGGCTGAGTTGAGAGTCATGGCTGGATGGTCTTGGCAGTGAGGCCATCGCTGCGATGAGATTAGGCCCGAATGAAAACAGCAAAGAAATGAGGCTCTAGTCTCTCTTGAATCATAATTATGAGAAATTGTGACTAGAAGATACTTGAAGTATATGTTATTTGCCATTAGTTGACATCTGAATCGTGAGCTTGTTGTTTCAACAAGTTCATCTTCAACTATACGAGAATCTCCTAACTAATCAATCACGGTGCTGACACACTCGGTTAAAGTGCTTATAAAAAACAACAGTTGCTCAGCCCCAGGAGCATCGCTCGTTTACATTCTCCAAACCACGTGCCAAGACAAGTTGTTCAAGGCATTTCGCACGGTCATTACCTGTTCGAGACGGCACTGAGATGCCGATTCACCATACAATCCGCTATTGCGGCTGGGCCAGTGACAGAGTCGTACGTAACACTCCTGCGCCAGCATCACATCGCATCGTATCCTCTGGGCGGTTACGAATATTGTGGACCACCAGAATCATGCTATAAATGGGTTTTTAGAGTTTTTGTTCTTCAACGTCGGCGGTTAACAATCACTCTCCAGCAGCTCAATGATACCAAATTCACTCTATGATTTAATTAAATGTCAAAAGCATTTGCAAAATTACGCCTGACCACAGCGTGAGATACTGACCAGAAAGCCTGGCAAATTACAAAAGATGCAGAGCTCATGTATGCCAAGCCAATAGCGAAGCCCTCTAAAACGCCCGGAGAGGCAGTGCCGGGACCCCTGCAGCGCGGGTGCCCGCCCATTGGCCCTGGGTGCTTAGATGCAGGTTGCTGATCCAATTGCTTCAGCCCTGAAAACTCTTGACTGTGATGAGGAAGCTAAAGAGGTGAAGCAGCTCGGGGAGCTAAATATGAGGGGAGGGGCGCTCATGTTTGTGTTTCTGATTTCTGGTCTTTATATCTTGGCTGTTTTATTTTTATTTGTGGTGTGGTTTGACACTTATCGACACTGTTGTCTCCGAGTTTTGGCGGGGATACGAATCTTGGTGTAACTTATACACATACATCCTTGGACTGGACATTCATCGAGACACTCTAAACTTTTACAACCTCAACATACAAAGATGTATGAGCTCGAGAAATACTGGATCGCCCACGGGGCCATGGTCTTTCTTGGAGCATGGATCCCTTCGGTCGTTCTATTCTTCTGCAGTTTCTGCCTCGTCCGTCGCAAGAGGGATCCCGCGAGAACTGCATTCACATATCTCAAGTTGGCTCTCTTAGTATACGCAGGGTATGCTCCCACCCTCTACTATTTGTCTGTTGAATTATAGTAACTGACACATCTAAGCTACGCCTTCTTCGACTTCGCTTCATATGTCGTCTCAGTCGTGCACACGCGATTATGGAACAGCGGAAGAATCGACAGTGACTTCGACTCGCACTACTCCAAGACTCTACAAGTCACCGTACAAGTCCTCGCTACTCTTGCGCTCATTTACGATTTGGTCACCGACATTCTCGTCATGATAATCCTCCTCCGTCTCGGCACCGGTATCATTATGGTCCAGACAGGCCAACCCGATCCAAAGGGCAAGATTCTTCGCTTCTTGTCGTACATCGCAGCAACGATCCTCTTCGCTCTCTCCTTGGCAGCGTTCGGTCTTCGAATTCGTTATGTGTATGAAGTATTCTTCAACGATGTTAGTGTTGGTGCGGATAGCTACACCAAGTCTCGACAGATCAGCTTCTCTTTCAGTGTTTTGGTCTTTGTCATTTCTCTCGCCATAGTTGCGCGGGCAATCATGATAAAGGTGCAATCCAAGGGCGAGAATGCGCTCACATGGTGCTCAAACATGTTCATCGCCGCATCTGTTGTTTGGCTTCTGCGCACAACGTTCAACATGGCGTCGACAGCTGCTTGGACCGATCTGAGCAGTGCATACGGCGACCGTGAGTACAAGTACGCTTACTACATCCTCGAAGTCGTCTTTGGAATCTGGCCGCAGTTCGTTGTTCTCTGCTTGGTGTTCATTATCGGACGTGCTAGGAACAACGGCATTTGGTCGAAGCAAGAGCATGAGCCTGTGAAGGGTGTTGAGGCTGGAGAGCGCACAGCTTGGGGTTATGGACAGATCCCCCCTCAGGCGCAGAATTCTGTACCTATGCCTGAGCAGCAACACTATCCTCAACCGGAACAGCAGCATCTGGCTCAGGGGTATGGTCCTCAACAGCAAGTGCCCCAAGAGCAAAACGGCTACTATGCGCCCCAACAACCTCAGTACGCGGCGTATGATGCTATTTCTCCGGTGTCTCAGCCCAGATCACCACCTCCTCATGAGGAAACAGTCGGTTTGAACCACCAAGCTGATGGTACTCCTCCCCAAGTGCCGGCTCAGCCTTACCCTGAGAAGCATTAGGCGTGCTGGGATAGATAATGAATCGCTGAATGATTGATAATGGGCGTGAATGAATTTGGACAACTTCTACAGATATGATACCACCCTTCTATACTTTATGATATTTAGTACACCCAATTCTACCTCATCAACAGAATGTCTAAACCTCGCGATGTCCTCTAGTCCACGTCTGAGAATTCAGCTGGAGCAACGAATGGGCCATCTGCACCCATAGTACCCGTAACATATCTTGTTGAGTCAGTAAACAAATTCCACGTGAACGATTGAAGGCTAGACTCACTTTGTATGACTTCCTCGCGCAGCCAATTGACCCTTGCTATTGGTGAACGTCACCTGCGTAAAAG